TCCCTGGAGGGGTGGAGGGGCACGAAACCTGATAAATAATATGGTGTGCGAATACCCTGCCCGCTCTGGTGGGGCCTCCCTGGAGGGGTGGGAGGGGCACGAAACCAGATAAATAACATGGTGTGCGAATACCCTGCTCGCTCAGGCGGGGCCTCCCTGGAGGGGTGGGAGGGGCACGAAACCTGATAAATAACATGGTGTGCGAATACCTTGTTTGCTCAGGCTGGGCCTCCCTGGAGGGGTGGGAGGGGCACGAAAACTTATAAATAACACGGTGTGCGAATACCCTGCTCGCTCAGGCGGGGCCTCCCTGGAGGGGTGGGATGGGCAGGATACCTGCTAAATAACATGGTGTGCGAACACCCTTCCCGCTCTGGTGGGGCTTCCCTGGAAGGGTGGGAGGGGCACGAAACCTGATAAATAACATGGTGTGCGAATACCCTGCTCGCTCAGGCGGGGCCTCCCTGGAGGGGTGGGAGGGGCACGAAACCTGATAAATAACATGGTGTGCGAATACCCTGCTCGCTCAGGCGGGGCCTCCCTGGAGGGGTGGGAGGGGCACGAAACCTGATAAATAACATGGTGTGCGAATGCGCTCTGGAGGGGTGGGAGGGGCTCATGGTGTGCTCCCTGCTCGCTCAGGCGGGGCCCCTTCTGGAGGGGTGGGAGGGGCACGACACCTGATAAATAACATGGTGTGCGAATACCCTGCCCGCTCAGGCGGATCCTCCCTGGAGGGGTGGGAGGGGCGCGAAACCTGATAAATAACATGGTGTGCGAACACTATGCTCGCTCAGGCGGGCCCCCTCTGGAGGGGTGGGGGGGGGCACGAAACCTGATAAAAACCATGGTGTGCGACGACCCTGCTCGCTCAGGCGGGGCCTCCCTGGAGGGGTGGGAGGGGCAAGAAACCTGATAAATAACATGGTGTGCGAATACCCTGCTCGCTCAGGCGGGGCCTCCCTGGAGAGGTGGGGGGGCACGAAACCTTATAAATAACATGGTGTACGAATACGCTGCTCGCTCAGGCGGGGCCTCCCTGGAGGGGTGGGAGGGGCACGACACCTGATAAATAACATGGTGTGCGAATGCCCTGCTCGCTAAGGCGGAACCTCCCTGGAGGGGTGGGAGGGGCACGAAACCTGATAAATAGCATGGCGTGCGAATGCCCTGCTCGCTCAGGCGGGGCCTCCCTGGAGGGGTGGGAGGGGCAAGAAACCTGATACATGACATGGTGTGCGAATGCCCTGCTCGCTCAGGCGGGGCCTCCGTGGAGGGGTGGGAGGGGCACGAAACCTGATAAGTAACATGGTGTGAGGAAAGGCATGGTATGGTATGGGATGGTGGAGGAAGCGGGAGGAGGAAGAGGAGGAGGAGGAGGAGAGGATGTTCTGGGAAAACAAGAACCCCACTCAGGATGTGGGGAATTACTTTCTTCAGTTGGTACGCGGGCAGCAATTCGAACCCAGCGCCACAACGGCTTGAAATGAGAAGCCCACGGGTAACTTCACATCCCCCTTCGAACGCCGATGAAGCGGAAACAAAAGGGCCAGCGCGCCCCGGTGTCTGTACCACAAAAACTTCAGCCTCGCGCGTCCGCACTGATTTCGGGCGATGCGCGATGAGCGCGGCAACCACCTCTGGCGACCTGCAATGTATATCTACAGAGACAGGCTTCCCCTTGATAGTATCTAGGAACGTGGCCACTGGCGTGCCTGGCCAATCTCACGCGCTCGGTCTCGCGCGCCCTGGCCAACTGATCAGAAAGCTGCTTCTTGTGTCTGGCGGCGGCGCCCTCACAGACAGCATGCGTCACTTCCTGTGGTACGAGGGCGTTCTCCGAGTATGCAATGAATCGTTTGGCATCGCGCTTGTTCTTCAAAAAGTCGAGCTCCTTCTGGCGGGTGGCATCCCAGTTCGAGCCTGTTCCGGCCTCCCTGGTCGAACCGTCAGCCACTGAATCCAAAACAGCGAGCCTCGCAGCCTTGCGGCGCTGACGAGCGAATTCAGCTTCGCACCACATCATCAATCGTCGTGTTCTCTCAACCCCTTTGTCAATGCGTGGAGACCTCTGCGCTTTAGGGCGCCCGCAATACTCGAGCAAACTGTGCCGGGCACTGTCAATGACTTTCCTGAAGTCACGACGGGGCAAGTCCAGAATGATCTTGAAAAACATGTCCTCGCTGTGTGCGTCTGCGCGAGTTTGGCGACAGTTAAACTTGAGCGCAGCCAAGCTAAACTTTTGTTCGACCCCCGACGTGCTGATTCCAAAAGCCACACATGCAACCAAAGCTGATATCATATCGTTGGTGTCGTCTACTTTTACACTATGCTTCTCCGATAATCGCTGCATCGCATATTTCCAAGCTTCCTTACTTGACAAGCCTCGCTGCATCTGTTGGCGGGCCCTTGGGGGCACATTATGCCACTGAGCGTGCACCGCAGTTGGATCGATGTCCGAGGCCAAACAGAGCAGGCGCCCCACGATTTACTACTCACTGCTTCCTACTCACTACTCCTTACTCCCTACTCACTACACACCACTCCCTGCTCACTACTCTCTACGCACAACTCACTGCCGACTTCTCACTATTCACTGCTCACCAAGCACTAACCACTACTACCTACTCCCTGCTCCCAAGTCACTACTCACTAGTCAACATACATACTCATACTCACTATTTTCTACTCGTTGCTCCATACCCAATACTCACGAAACACTACTCACTACTCACTACTCGCAACTCCCTACCCGGAACTCGCTACCCAATACTCATTATTCAATACCCACTACTCATTACTCACTACTCACTACTCACTGTTCCTTACTCCCGACTCCGTACCCATTACACACTATTATTCACTACCCATTACTTACTACTCGCTACTGCTTACTCACTATTCATTACTCAATACTCACTACTCACTATTCGCGACTTCCTACCCGCTATTCGCTACTCACTACTGCCTACTCACCACCCTCTACTCACTACTCACTACTCACTAATCACTACCCGCTACTCACAACTCACCACTCACTCCCCACAACTCACTATTCATTACTCACTACTCACTACCCACTACTCGCTACCCACGTCTCACATCTCATTGCACACCACCCACTAATCCCTACTCGCTACTCACTAGCTCACTCCTCGCTATTCGATACCCATTACTGGCAACTCACTACGCTCTACCCGTTCCCCCCGATTTGCTACTCACTTTTCACTACCCACGACTCATTACCCACTACACACTACTCACAACTCACTACTCACGGCTTACTACTCACTACACACTGCTCATTACCCCCTACTCCCTACTCGCTACTCACTGCTCCATACCCACAACTCTCTATTCCTATGCACTACTCACTACGCACTAACCACTACCCATCACTCACTACTCACAACCGACTACCCACCACCCAATTATAACTACTCAGTACTCCCTACGAAGTACTTCGTACTCACTACTCTCTACTCACTACCCATTACTAGCTACTCGCTACTCACTACTCCCTACTCGCTATTCACGACTCACCACTCAATACTTAGTCCCCATACTCACTAATTACTACTAACTACTCGCTACCCTCTACTCGCTACTCAGTACTCACTATTCACGCTTGCCTACTCCGTACTCCCTACCCACCTCCTGGTGCACAAAGGAGCAGCGGGAAAGGGCCCCTCCCCGGCTCTCTGTCCGGCGCAAAGAGCGGGAGGGGGTGGGGGGGTCCGACTCCCCCCCTTCCGGCACCAAGGGGGCCCGAAACGTCCCCCATCTTCAAAGGAGGGGGGGGACGCGAGGGTTCGGACCCCCCCCCCCCTAAGGGGGGGGTCCAAAATATCACACCCCTTTTGAAGAGGGGAGGGGGGGGGGACTGCGAGCACCCCTCTCTTTTCAATTGCACGGTGATCCAACGGCTCTTTCTAAATCACCACCTCGGGCACGGGCCGGTGGAGAGCATCCTGCGGTTAGAGGAATGGATAACAACAGAAAGATTACAACACTTTCTGAAATCTTGGATTGGATTTGCGCTCACCCCCGACAAGTGGCGCGTGGAGTGCTCCAGGGACGGCGCCGGAAGCGCCTACAAGGGGGCCCATACGCAGATGGACAAAAATCTGCGCGGAACTCCCAAGTTAATGTTTACGCAAATTGTTCTTCCACGAAAACCTCGAACCTCGAGCCGATTCCCCCCCACCGCCCAGATAATCCGCGACCGACAATGTTCGGTCGCGGACTTCGGTGTCGGTGCTTTCGCCACCGGCCCCAGTTTTCCGTATAATATATTCACAAACGATCCCAGGTCTCGGCCGGGAGAACCAATGTGACACGGCGCTAACGGCTGTGGCAGATCGGTGCAATCAAAGTTGATAGCAACGTTGTGCGAAGAAAATGAAAGGCCCTCGGAAGCCAATGTCGCAGCTTCTCGTCCAGTGGCTGGTCATTGAAAGTGGTGAAGGATTGGATCGACGATGCAAAGATGCAAGGGTACCCTTGGAAAGGTTACCCCTCCTTATAATCGGTTTCGACTGTACAGAATCCGGAGGCGGCCAAGAGCTTGCCGTCGCTCGGACGTCCATTTCCCGTGCATTTTGTGGTTTCGTGCGTTTTTTTTTGTTGCTCGATGGTCCAGGATGGTCCTCGATGGTTTTCGCCGAGAGAAAATGCACACGTCCGAACGATGCCAAGAGAGTGAGGCATTCAAGAAAAAAACTGGCAAATCATGACCCGAGGCACGTGCGCGGCCCAGGGGGGGCCAGGGGACGTGCTGAAATATGGAATATGAGGAGGCGCCGTGACATCTGGGAAGATATCATGGCCGCAGCCATGACATCCATCCCCCCCCAATCATCACCCCACTCTTCCGGCCACGCCTGAAAAATTGCAATCGCGACCAAAATATACCGGCAAGATCGGCCGCGACCGCTCGCGACCGCAAATCTTCGGGCGCGGGGTCTGTGGACGACGCTGCCCCCGACCGGGCCCCGCGCGTCGCGGCTGCTCGGCACGAGCAAGGCCTCCTCGCACGTGCCGGCGTGAACGAGCCAGTCGAAGCCGAGGCTGCCGGCGTGGCGCAGCGCATCGGCGGCGAGCAGCTCCTGGGCAGCGGCGGCCCGACGGCGCGAACGCTGGCCCCATAGTTCCTCCACCTCTGCCTCCTCCACGCCTTGTTCCTCCCTCCTCCTCCTCCTCCTCCTCCTATTCCTCCTCCTCCTATTGCTCCTCCTCCTCCCCCTCCTCCTCCTCCACCTCCTCCCTCCTCCCTCCACCCCTTTTTCTATCAGTAACTCCTCCCTGTTGCGCCCCAGAGAGTGTCGACAGGGCGGGCCAGGCGTTCCTCTCCTGAGACTTCCTCACTGCTTGTGACTTTGAAGCTTCACGTATGCAACCGTGGGTGGAGCTCCCAGAGAGGAGGAGGAGGAGGAAGAGGAGGAGGAGGTTGAGGGAGGAGGAGGGAGGAGGAGGGAGGAGGAGGGAGGAGGAGGAGGATGCCACGTTGTGACTTTAGAACTTCACGTATGAAACAGTTTCACGGAAAAAGAGCGGGTGGTTTTCAAATGTAGCTCTTCCATCAGCGCCGCGCGCACTCGCCTGAACCATTTGACTGCGGTTCACGGATGGAGGGTGCTGTTTTTTCGACATGTGGCTCTCGCCTTAACGCCGCCCGGATTGGTTTTCAAAGCGTGAGTATCACGGATGGAGGGCGGGCGGTTTTCAACATGTGGCTCTCGCCGTAACCCCATGCGCATTCGTATGAATAGAATTGAAAGAGCTTCGCTGATGGAAAGGGGTCCCTTCTTCCAAATGTGGCTCTCGCCTTGAGCGCCGCGCACATTATTGCTCACACTTTGTCAGGACCTCACGGATGAAAGGCGGGCGATATTCATAATGTTGATCTCGCCTCAGCGCCGCGCGCATTCGTTTTCAGATCTTGCAGAAGTTTGACAGGTGAAGCGCGGCTCCTTTTTCCAAATGTGGCTCTCGCTTCAGAGTCGCACACGTTTGTTTTTTTTAGAATATACATCAGCACTACGGATTATATGGCTTCGCGTCCCAAATGCTGGTCCGACGCGATGTAAGACTGCCAGGGCGCAACAGTCACGTTAGTCAGGAAGCATCCGTAACCACTGTTCTGGCACGATTCAGGATCGTCAGGAAGCACCCGAAACGTTGATTCGCGGCGTTGAAGTCCCAGGAAAGATGTTGAAGCACGATTCAGGATCGTCAAGACGCATCAGCAATGTGGATTCGCGGCGTTGAAATCCCAGGAATGATGCGCTGGCGCGGTTCAGGATTGTCAAAAGGGTGTCCTTCCACGGGCCTCTTCCCTCTGTGAAACTGAATGCTCTTTCAGGGACCTGTGACGAGGGCCCAGAGGGGACATGGAGGGAGGGCTATTGCAACATCGTTGATGGGTCTTGGATCTACATTCGTCCCTCCTCCCCATCCTCATGCTCCCCCTCCCCCTCCCCCCTCCCTTTTTCCTCCCCCCTCTCCTGCCCTTCCACCTCGTCCTCAATCCCGTCTCCCTGTAAATAACGCCTCGCCCCGACAAGTGCCCGTAGGTCGGGCCGGCCAGTTTGCCTGAGACTTCCTGACCACTTACAGTCAACCCGCAGAGTAAGGATGCGCGATAAGGATGCAAGGGCCTTGGAAGCCCATTTCGAAGCTTTTCGAGCGGGACGCGGCCAACGCAAGTGTCCAAGGATGGACCCAGGAGGCAAGGATGCAAGGGGACCCTTGGGAGTTATGCCCACTTTTACTCTGCGGGTTCACTGTACGATTCCTAAGCGTATAACTTGCAGCGATTTCACGCAGGGAGGGCGGGTGGTTTTCAAAAGGTGGTTCCCGCATCAGCGCCGCGCACACTCGTCCAAAACGGGTGGAGGGCGGGCGGTTTTCAAAATGTGGTTGCCGCCTTGGCGCCGCGTACGTTCGCTTTTACATGTTTGCAAGGACTTCCCAGGTGGTGGGCAACTCGTTTCCGATATGTGGCTGTGTACTTAGCGCCTCGCACACTCACTCCAGGATATTACAAGCAAATTCATGGATTACGATGCGTGGCGTCCCAGGACCGGTGTTTTGGCACGATGTAGGACGATGTAGGATTATCAAGGCGCAACAGTCACGTTGATTCGCGGTGCTAGGACCCCAAGAGTAGCGTCCTGGCGCGATTCTGGATCGTCAGGACGCATCACTCTTGTGAGTTCGCGGCGTTTATCCAAGGAGTGATGTCCTGTCGCGGTTTTCAAACGGGCCACTGCCTTCAGTGAAAATGAATACATGTAGGGACCTATGAAGACGATGTCGAGGGAACTTGGAGGGAGCGTTTTATGCAACGTCGTTTTTGGGTCCTAGGTTTACACTGCTCCCTCCTCCTCATCATCCCTCCCTCTCCACCTTGTGCCCTGATAACAAATAGTATATCCCTGTCGCGCCCAAAGACGTGTCGGTGGGGCGGGCAGGCCGTTTTGTCTGAGACTTCCCCGCCACTTACGAATCTTGAGCTTAACTTTTGCAACCGTTTCACGGATCGAAGGCGGGTGGTTTCAAAATGGGGCTCTCGCCTTAGCGCCATCCACATTCGTCGGGCAAATCTGCTATCGGCTATCGGATGAAAGGCGGGCGGTTTTCAAAAAATGTGGCTTCCGCCTCAATGCTGTGAACATTCGCATTGAAGTTCGCCAGAGAGCTTCAAGGATAGAGAGCGGGCGGTGTTTAACATGTGAATCCCGCCTTGGCGCCGCGCGCATTCGTCTTGGAAGTGTGCGAGAACTTCACGGATGGAGGGCGGCTCTATATCAAAATGTGGTTCTCGCCTTTGCGCCGCACGCATTCGTCTTACGAGTTTGCAACAGCTTCAAATATTATTTATGCTTGACGTTCTGGGAATGTCTTGTGGCACGCTGCAGGACTGTCAGGGTGCAGCAGTCATGTTGGACCGCGGTGTTTTGGCACGAATTCAGGATCGTCGGGACGAATCCGTACCGCTGATTCGCGGCGTTAGAGTTCCAGGAATTGTGTTCTGGCGCGGTTCGAGATTTTCAGAGGCGTGTCTTCTAACGGGGCACGCCCCTCAGTGATACTGGATCCTTGCTGTCTCCTGCGGGAGCGGCCAAGAGGGGGGTGTCCAAGAGGGGGGGGTTCAAATCATGACCGGCGGCATGTGCGCGGCCCAGCGGGGGGGCCAGGGACGTAGTGAAACAAGAAGAGGCGCCATGAGATCTGGGGAAATATCATGGCCCCCGCCATGAGATCCACCCCCCCTAGTCATCACCCCCCTCTTTTCCGCCCCCGACTCATGTCGGGATGCCCCCCAAACCTCCAACGAATCAAAACATCCATTCGCACGTTTCGTCGTCTTCGGCCTCTGGGGCCCTCGCCGGGCCCGTCAAACAATGAGTCAGGATGAAGAAACGACCCTGGGGAAAGGGTCTGGACTTCTGGGCCCCTGGCTCCTCCGCCTCTGCGTCCTCCAAGCCTTGCACCGCCACTTCTCCTCATAAGTAACTCCTCCCTGTCGCATCCCGAGGCGTGTCAGCGGGGCGGGCCGGGCGTTCTTCTCCTTGACTCCCTCAGCACTTACGGTCCTCACGCTTGAAATGTGCAACTCCTTCAAGGAAGGAGGGTGGCCCGTTTTCAAAATGCGTCTCTCGCCTTAGCAACGCGCGGATTCGTCATGGAAATGAGCAACAAGTTCATAGATGAAGCTCCTTTTTAAACTGTGGCTTTGACCTTTGGGTCGCGAGTAGGTGTCTTAAAAGGTCATCCAGATTTTCAAGGATTCGCATTGCTTCCCCTGGAACGGTGCCCCGGCACGATTGAAGATTGCCAGGACGCAACAGTCACATTGATTCGCGGCGTTCAAGTCCCAGAAATAGTGGTCAGACACGGTTTATGACTGTCAAGACGCAACAATAACGTTGAGTCGCGGCGTTGTAGTCCCAGGCACGGTGTATTGGTACGATTGAGGGCCCTCAGAAGATGATCTTGCAACTGGGACACTGCCCCGAATGAACATAATATCGTGTAGGATCTATCGAGTGAGAACTTCTGGGGCAGGGTTAAGGGTTATTGCAACATCGGTGATGCGTTTCGGGTTTACCTTGATCCTCCTCCTCCTCCCTCACACTGGGGGGATGTGGAACAGGAGCGATACCGGAACCCAGCGCTAGATCAACCCATCCCTCCAACTCCTCCTCCTCCTCCTCCTCCTCCTCCTCCTCTCCTCCTCCTCCTCCTCCTCCTCCTCCTCCTGCTCCTCCTCCTGCTCCTCCTCCTGCTCCTGCTCCTGCCTTCCTCCTCATTCTCCTCCTCCACCTCCTCCTCCGCGCTCGCATCCCACTCCTCCACCGCATCCACTCCTCCACCTCCTCCTCCCCCCATTCCTCCTTGCCCCAACAGTCGCACTTTTGTCGCACCGTGCGTTTTCGCCAGATCTCGGGCCCTGGGCCCATCACGCATCGATGCGGCCCGGGCAATGCTGCAGAAAGCTGAGGATCGAGGGCTCTGGCTGCGACTTGCCACGATGCTGCAATTCGTTTCGCGACGTCGGATCTCGGGGTCCCTCCTCCTCTTCCTCCGATCTCGTCCTATGGGGGACCGCTTCTGGCCACAATACTGGGGGCCGTTCCGGGGGCTCTGGGGCCGTCAAGAGGGGCGCTGCTAGAATGGAAGGACCTGGCAAGAGTCTGGTTGTCGATTTTGAGCGGAGGTTGGTCGGGATTGGGGCGCACATCCGTACCACCCTCATCCTCCTCCCTCCTCCTCCTTCTCTAACATGATCCTTCTCCTCCTCACACCTCCTCGTCCTCCTCAACCTCCTTCTCCTGGTCCTCCTCCTGCTCCTCCTCCTGCTCCTCCTCCTCCTTCTCCTCCTCCCCGTCTTGTCTTTCCTCCGCGGCAGCGGGATGCAGTCGTCACTCGTCGAAGACGAAAGGCGGAACACCCAGGGAGCACCATCGCATGTTGGGCCTGTCGGCCGCGGTATGCAGGTTGTGCGAGGCGGGTCGGGTTCGCGATTCTGTAAATCCAACAGCCCCAACCATTCGAGCAAGAAAAACTTAAACCCCCAACGTCATGAACGTGGACCCCAGGATGCCTCGACCCATTCCCCAAGACTGGCTTTGCACCCTGCATAAATCGTGTCACTGTTCTGGGGCCTGCCGAGAGCACACGGAGGCTGAAAACTGTCAAAACCTCCAGTCGTGATTTTGTTCACGACTCTAGCATGTCTGGGTGACCTCCTTCCTCCTCCTGCTCCTCCTCCTCCTCCTCCTCCTCCTCCTCCTCCTGCGTGGCCGTCGTCTGTGGCCAGAGCATAGGAAGAGACACCTGCATCAATGCAACTTTTCAGAGGTCCGCGTAAACTTCATGGATCTGCGCAGAAACACCCCTTCCTGGCGCGCCGAGCGCACCAGGGGCGGCGTCGGGGGCGCCGGCAGGGGTTCCAGCTCCGATCCCAGAGATCCGCGCGGAACTCCGAACAGTTCTGTTGACTCGCGTGTTCCTTCTTCGACTGGCCAGGGGGCTCTAGAGTTGAGGGCGCCAAAAAATGCCGACGTTAGTCGACTGGACTCCGACGTTGCCAAAAAATGCGGCGTCGCGAAGAGGCACACACGGTAGCCTGGATCCAGGCTTCCTGCGTCATTTCGCGAGCTGCTGAGGGGACACACATCCCAAGATTACCTATCTTTCCCAATATTATTTTCGGGGTTTTCACTTCCCCCCCCAACTTCCAATATTTTCCAATACTTTCCTGGGAATCGACGATGAATGGCGTCTGTGTCTTATCCCCTCCTGAGCTGCATCGATCTGCGATGGCCAGGGGGCCAAATCCGAGCGAGAACGGCCGCTGCGAGACAGAATGCAGTGCCCGGAGCTCTGGGTGCCCTCCTTCCTGCTCCTCTAGTGTTTACCAGCCTGGAGCATATCCCTATCCCTAAGCTGGGCACCTCCTCATCACGGTGCCAATCTTAGGGATTCCCTTTATGTTTTGAGGGCGAATCCCTAAGATTGGCATCGCCTTTTGGCGTGTCAATCGTAGGGATAGGGATACGTTCGAGGCTGGTAACCTCCTTCCTGCTCCTCCAGTGTGGCCGCCAGTTGTGGCCAGAAGGCTCCTGCAATGATCCAGGGCAGACCGACCCGGAGGCCCGATGTCTCGATTGTTTTCCAAACGCGGTCCCCAGAAGCCCCGTCCCTGTCCCCAGGGTAGGTTTTCATCCCGAGTCGATTTGACCGTGCTGGGGCCCGCAGAGGGCGAAAACTCTCAAAAAACCTGTTGCGTTTTCTGTTCACGAGGCGAACATGTCTGGGGGCCCTCCCTCCTCCTCATCCGCCTGACTGTTTCTTGCACCCGAGGTCCACGAAGGCCACTGTGACCTGGAAAACATTGCAACATCGCGAGTGCACGACCTGGCCATCGCTCGGACGTCCATTCCCAGTGCTTTTTTCGCTTTCGTGCGTGGCTTTTCGCCAAATGATCAAGGATGCTCCTCGATGGTCCTCGCCGAAGGAAAAATGCACACGTCCCAGCGATGCCAAGCTTGCCCCCATCTTTCTGCGCCATTTGTTCGATCCTGATCGACCTGCGGTCGCCGCGTGGCCCAAAGCCAGGCGAACACGCCCTGCGAGAAAAGCTGCAGCGCCCCGCCCTCGGGGCCCCCCTTCCTCCTCCCGCGTGTCCGCCGTCCGTGGCTTCCTCGTTCTCCTCCTCCCGCTCGGCCTCCTCCACGTCCTCGACCTGCTCCCCGTCCTCGACCGCACCGACGGCCCCCTCATCCTCACGCTGCCCCTCCCCCTCGACCTCCTCCTCTCGGAGCAGGGCGAGCTGAGACAGCGGCAGTCCGAAACCGGTCCCTGGACCCCCCCCCCCACAGGGTCCAAGCGCACCAGTTGTTCCACCTGCGCCCAGCCGTGGCGGCAGTGGGGGCCCGCGAAGGCCTCCTGCCGTTGTCTCGAAAGGCCCTCCTCTGATCCTCCTCCCCCCAGGGCTGGACCTACACGGTGTTCTCGTCTTCGTGTTGTTGTTTGTTCTTCCTCGGCTTGCCTCCGCTCCGCCCTGGACATTACGGAAAAACAAGACGGCCCACGAGATGGCCAAAGCACCGACTAGGTCCAGCCCCGCCTGCCCCTCCTGCGTCGCCGCCGTCTGTAGCCAGAGTGAGGGGCAACGATAGGGGGGGGACTGGCTCAGGAGGGGAAACATCGACCTGGGATCGGCGATTCATCGCTGATACATCGGCGATGGGCCCGCGATGGCGAACCCATCAGGACGCTCCTGAGCGGGGTGGGGCTATCAGACCCCCGTTGCCGACCCATGGGCAATCAATCAAGGGCGCCTGATTTCGCGCTCCGCGCTGCGCGGAGCACGAATCACTGCGCGCTCTCGCGCCGCCCCCCAGGGGAGAGAAGGAGGAGGAGGAATCGGTGCCGAAGCAGGGGTGGGCCTAAACGGTGTTTTGGCGACTTCGTGGGCCGTTGCCGTCTCGATGTCGTTTTGCGTTAGAAGGCGGACTGAAGACAAAACGAGGGAAAACGATAGCAAAACGAAAACGAAACAAAAACAAAACGAAAACGAACACAAAACGAACACGACAACGAAAACAAAACGAAAACGAAACACAACGAGGGACAACGAAAAACACCGTTTAGGTTCAGCCCGGTGCCGAGCCGCGAAGCGCGAAGAACTTCGCGCCCTCCAGGGCGCCCTTAGCGATTTCTGGGGTCGATGCGTTCTCCCCCGAGCCGAGTCACCCCCCCGGCACTGGCACGCCCGAACGGGCCACGGAAAAAACGGGTACAGTCAACCGGCATAGTAAGGATGCGCGGTAAGGACGCAAGGCCCTTGGAAGCCCACTTCGAAGTCTTCGAGCGGGGCGCGGCCAACGACCGTGGCCAAGGCTGCACCGAGGATGCAGGGATGCAAGGGTACCCTTGGGAAGGCTGCCCGTCCTCACTATGCGGGTTGACTGCACGATGCCCAACAGCAGATGCTGCCCCGAGTCGACAGGGAAGGGGCCCTGGGACACACACACACACAAATACACACAAATAACAGGATTCTCCATAATACAACGTCCGCGGAAGCACCGATAGTGCTCCAAATGAGCAAGAGCTGCGATCGGTCCCTGTACAGCAAACAGATATCAGCAGGACGCACGGCAAGGATGCAAGGGCCTTGGAAGGCCATGCCGGCACTTTGCAAGCGGGGCGCGGCCAGCAAAGGCGGCCAAGGCTGGGCCGAAGAGGAAGGATGCAAGTGTGACCTTGAAAAGTCGCCCATCCTTCCTGTGTGTGTGTGGATTGTAACTGCCCATCTGTTCAGTACCACTTTCGATCGCGAGAACGTTTCTTTGAAGGCAGATCTGCCTTCAAAAAAACCAAATCTGCCTTCACAAAACCACATATTTTTCTGAAGGCAGATCTGACATCGGAAAAAAAACTTTGTTGCAGGGTATCCGTGGAAAGTCGTTCAGCCTTCCTGTGCGTGTTGACTGTGACTGCCCATCTGCTCCCTAATTACCACTTGCCGTCGGTCGGACGCCCATTTCCCGTGCACCCTTCGGTTTCGGGCGTGTGTTTTTGTTGCTCGATGGTCCTCGATGGTCCTCGCCGAGAAAAAATATGCACACGCCCGAGCGATGCCAGGACCACCTCCGATCGCCCCGATGGCCGCCGCCTGTGGCCAGAATCTGGACGCCCGAAAGGGGCACGGTCAAGAAGGGGTACAATGCCCAGCAGCAAATGTTGTCCCAAAACCATCAGCGGCCGCTGTTGGGCAGGCGGCCTTCTGCCTCGAATGGACACGGGCCACAGCGGCGCTGACAGCGAGTCCTGTTCAGAATGAGCAGGGACTGCTGTTGGGCATTGTACCCGTTCTTTCCGTACCTATTTCGGGCGTCCAGACACAGGGCAATCACAGATCGATCCGGCTCGAGAATTTGCGCAGGATGATGGGGCGTGGGCACGAAGGCTCCAACGTCAGAGTGAGGGGTGCGAGCGGTCGTACACAAGCCCACGTCCGAGCGATGCCAGGACCACCTCCGATCGCCCCGATGGCCGCCGCCAGAAGGCTCCTGCAGGGGCCCGGCGTCGCCGTGCCGCCGCGCCCCCCGCGCCGCCTCCCAGCGCCGCGGCGACGCGGCCCGGCTGCCCGCGGCCTCCTCGGGAGGCGCGCGCGCAGGCCACGGCGGCGCGCCGGCCATGCGAGGCGGGGGTTTATCCATACCCTCGGGGATCTTCTGACCCGGGTCAATCCAGACCCGGGTCAGCAGGAAACCAAAAACTGCAGTGCAGGAACAAACAAAAAAAAAAAACTGCAACGCGGGTCTTCGCAAACCCGGGTCAGCCAATATGTGCGGCAACCTCGCGGCCACGAGCGGCTCGCTAACCCGGGTCAGCCAGAAGGGGTCTTCGCAGGATCCTGCAGGATCCGCTGCAGGACCCCCGTTTGCATTGACCCCCGTCGCAAGGCTCCCGATACCCACCGCCTGGGCACCGACGCCCCGGTGCCCCAGCGGGCGGTGGATGTGGATGTATTCTGGCCCCTGGGGGCCCGGATAGGTCCACATCCTCCGCCTGCCGAGGCTCCGAACACGGGGGCCCTCCAGGCGGTGGTCATGTGCAGATTCCCGCCTCGGAGGCCACCGCGGGCGCACCTCGAAAAAAAGCGAGCCCGCGCCGACAGCGCCGAGGGCGACGAACGCCAAGAATTTCGCCACGGGGGAAGCGGGTCCCGAGGAAGACGGGTCCCGGGGAGTCTCGCCGTTTGACTGCCTAGTAGACCACCCCAACCCAGCCCGAAGACCCGAATTTCGGGTTGGGGGGGGGGACGTGATCCACATGCGCTTTCTCAATGTTCCCCGACCCCCCCCCACTGGAATCGGCGGTGGACAAACCTCCCTTTCGTAGATCTCACCTTAGTGAAAACGGCCTGGGACCGAAACCGACGGACCTGGACCCGCAAAAATGACGGCCGCGACGCCCTCTCGCGAACCGAAAACGGCCAATTCCTCAATCGACGCGTCAGGGTAGGAGGTCTGTCCACCCCCGAATAGGGCAGATCGGGGCCTTCGGGTTGGGTGGGGGTGGTTTGGTGGACGGTGAGCTCTCGGGCTCTCGGGGCTCTCCACGGGCCCCGGGACTGCCAGGGACCTCCGCGGCCTGGGCGCGCCGCACCTCGAGGAGGAGGAGGAGGAGGAGGAGGAGGAGGAGGAGGAGGAGGAGGGAGGAGGAGTAATTAGGGAGGAGGAGTAGGGAGGAGGAGGGAGGAGGAAGGAGGAGGAATAGGGAGGAAGAGGGCCCAGGACGAGAAGCTCATCCTGGGGGGGGGAGGCACCAGTGTCCGAGACCCGCTTCCCTCGGGACCAGTCTCCCCTATGCCAGGAGAGCAGTGCGACGCCAAGCCGCAGACGTCACGACGACGAGCACCAATAGAGAGGCCAAAGTGTCTGAACCATCTGGCCGAAAATTGCCCCTGGGCCGCCGAGCTGCCGAAGAGTGGCAGGCAGATCCTGGCGTCACGATGAGCGATGTTGCCTTGCTTCAGTCCGCAGGGTAATCACAGATCGATCCGGCTCGAGAACTTGCGCAGTATGATGGGGCCTGGGTGCGAAGGCTCCAACGTCAAAGTGAGGGGTGCGAGCGGCCGTACACAATCTGAGACGAAGCCAAGACCGGGAAAACATCGGACCAGCCCAAATCGGATATCTCTGATATCTGGCGTTCTGGAAGATGTATCGGGCGCCGCGGCCTTCTCAGAGCGTTCCAGAACGGCTGCGTCCGGGAAAACTCTGAAAAGATGTCATCCCTGCCCTAGCCCCGCCCGGCCATCACTCGGTGCGTGAGTGAAGTGGGATTATGTAGCCCTCAGTCTGATGCTGTTGTCGAATTGGTCCTCACTTCTAAACAACTATTGATGATGATCTACCCCTATGGTAAATTGCGTTTTTTGATCGAAGTGCCACCATTGGGGCTCGCACACTGCTTTGCACAACGAACAGTCTGCGCGTCAGACTGGGTTGTTGGCCCCCGAACTACAACAACAATCATGTTAAGACTTGCGTCAAGTTAAGACTTGCCGCGCTCATCTGCTCGCGTGCCACTGTACATGGGTGTCCCATACCCTCATACCCATCCTCTTCGTCTTAGATCGTGCCCTCCTTGGGGGCATGTCTTCCTTGCCTGCAGCGTGGAATTGGCGGAGCCCCTGGAACAGGAGGATGAGGGAGACCGGAGAAAAAGAGAAAGAAAGATGGAGCGCGAGGAGGAAAGCAGTGAGGGAAGGGAAAGGGGAGGGGAAGGGACAAGGGGGGGGGAGGCACCAGGGTCCGAGACCCGCTTCCCTCGGGAGGAGGAGGAGGAGGAGGAGGACGAGGAGGAGGAGGAGTAGGAGGAGGAGGAGGGGGAGGAGGAGGAGGAGGAAGAGGGGGAGGAGGAGGAGGGGGAGGGGGAGGAGCAGGAGCACGAGCGGCAGAACCAGACGGGCGGGTCGGGCGGGCGGGCCCTGGACCCGGACGGGCGGGTCGGCTGGGCCGCCGAGGCGCGAGTCCTGCCAGGATCGCGAAGCATTCTCCGACGATGGCACGACTCGCGAGCACAAACCGCGAGGAAGTCCTCGAGGGCGCGACTCCTGAGAGTCGAGGGCGCGGCGTTGGAGCAAGCTGCGAGGGAGTCTCGCGCGAGAAGGCGATATGCCTGGGCAAGGTACCAGGATGCCGCGAGTGAGGGCGCGATGTTCCTGGTCAAACTGCCAAGATTCCGCGAGCGAGAGCGCGATTCTGCGCTCCAACGTCAATGAAATATGGCGCGAGACCCGCTGTGATGCCAACAACCTAGCCTAAGGCCAAAGACTCTCCACTGTAAAACAGATGATGCGAGCCCCGGGGGGGAACTTCAGCAGAATGGGCACAGAAGGGGAAAGAAACAAATATTGCTTTCAGGAATGAAAATTCACCGGCTCCCGCCGTATACTCCCGCACAACTTACTGACGAATCGCGCTCTCGTGTGGGACTTCCTGGCAATTCGCCCATACATCGCGCTCTCGTGAGGGACTTCCTCGCAACTTCTTCAGACGCAGCTCCCTCGACACTCAGGAATCGCGATCTCGCTCTGGAAATCATCACGATTTGTCGGAATCGTGCTGTCGGTGGTAGAGGCTTCCTGGCGATTCAGGAAGGACACGCGCTTCGGCGGCCTGCCCGCCCATCCCGCCCGTCTGGTTCTGCCCGCCCGACCCGTCCGTTAGGGAGCGTTGGCACCCCTGCCCGTCGCTCGCCATCGGTGCCCGCCGCTGCCCTTCATGGTTCCGCATCGCTGCACTCGTGGCCCGTCGAAGATCTTGGTGGTATCACTACCCGCACTCCTTTCCTCGCTCGCTATGTTTCCCGTCTCCCTCCCCTTCCTGTTCTAGGGGTTGCGTCAACGACACGTGGCAGGTAATAAAGCTATGCACCCAAGGGGGCACGATGGAGGACTAGGAGGGCGGGTATCGAGGGCTTGGGATATACATGTCGACTAACACGAGAGCAGATAGAAGCATCAATGTTCAAATGATTCTTGAGCACGAAATACTAAGCAATCGCTATTATTGGACCCTTTCAATGCGCTCCGCCGTTCTCGCCTTGGCGCCGTCTGCATGTTCTCTGAAAGTGAGGCTCACGCTCGAGCGTTTAGGAGTTCCAGTCCCAACAACAACAATACTGATACTAAGAAGCAGCTGTGACAGAGGGAAAAAAAACAACAGCAACAACAACAACAACAAGTACAACGATAGGCAGAATACTACAGAAACATAAGAAGACGAAGAATAATACGAATAATAATAATCGTAGCAGCAGCAAAACCTGTCCCGTTCAATACATCCTCGCATGTTACTCAGGCCCGGTGCCCGTGCTCGCCGCCGAAAATTGGCCGTTCAACAAAACTAACGTTCCCGCTCAATACGTTCTCGCTTTCTACTCAGAAGTGGCGCTCCAGCCGTGGTTCCGCACATCAGCCCCCTACGATATCCTCTCGATCGATACTCCCTCGCTTTCTAGTCGGTACCAGTGGTCTTGCTCGCCGCCGGAAACATCCCCACAACAAAACCAGCGCTTCTGCTCGATATCTCCTCGATTTTTACCCAGGAGTGGCGTTCATGCCTTGGGTCCGCAGACTGGGCCCCTTGCAACAACTACGCTCCCGCTCAATACTCCCTCGCCTTTCTACTCGAGCCTGGCGCACTGACGCGCCGCCAGAAAACGTCCCTCCAACAGAACCAACGCTCATTCTCTATACTCTGTCATTTTTTGAACTAGGAGCGGCGCTCCCGCCTTGGGCCCGCACACCGCCCCGCCTAAAACAACGGCACCCCCGCTCGATGCTTCCTCGCCTTCTCCTGAAGACGGGCGCTTCTGCTCGCCGCCAGACTCTGCCCCACCACAACTGGCCATCGCTCGGACGTCCATTCCCTGTTTTTTTTGATTTCGTGCGTGCTTTTTTCGCTAAGTCATCCAGGACGCTCCTCCATGGTCCTCGCCGAGGGAAAACATGCACACGTCCGAGCGATGCCAAGCTGTTTGTTTTTGATGTTAGGGATGGCGCTCGCGCCGTGGCTTCCGAAAAGGCCACCTCAGAGGCGCCACGAGGGTCCCGAGGATGCGCCACTCGACTTCCAGGGGCGCCCAACGAGGCCATCGGACGGCCGAAGAGAACCCCAAGACAGCCCAAGAGGTTGCCAACGGGGCTCAACCTAAACGGTGTTTTTCGTTTTCGTTTTGATTTCTTTTTCCCTCGGTTTGTCTTCAATCCGCCTTTGACAAAACGGAATCGAAACGAAAACGGCCCACGAAGTCGCCAAAACACCGTTTAGGTCAACCCCTGGTTGCCAAGACGGCCCTACGGAGGCCAGAAATCCCGAACCGAAAGTGGCGAAGCGCCTCGTAAGAGAAGTTGACAAAACATGCTCGGGAGGGTGATCTGGGTATCGTATCGGGCCCTCGATACGTGACAACATTCCCCCTTCAAGCGAGGAGCTATCATGATGAATGCACGTTGCATTTCGACGAATCGTTGAGCATTCAAGCACAATTACTGTAGATGATTCATGTCCCAACTAAATCAGTTTTCATCCTCTCAAGGAGTCCAGTGGGTGTTTCAATTGAAGTGACCCCCCCCCTCAGGGGGCCAAGGCTCTCTCACCTTGCTCAGTAATTGAGCAGGACGTGGGAACTCATGTTGGGTTGTTGGCCCTCGGGCGAACAGGAAGAACGGCTCTCGCTTGATACTTCGGTATAAGTGCTCTCACGCGGGGCCTCCGCACAATGTGGAATCACGTAATCGTGAAAGACTTCCTCGCGATTCGTGCAAGGCTGACGCTTCAACGACCACCTCATTCGACCCAGTCGTTCGCTTAGGGTCCACCCGCCCGACCCGCCCGTGTGACTCGACTGCTTGTTCTTCCTGCTCCGAACCCCCTCCTGCTATAGCTAATCCCTCTCGTGCTCCATCCATCTCCATCTCCCTTGTCCCAGTCCTCCTCCCTCTCTTCCCCTGCTTCAAGGGCTGCGCCAACTACGCGTGGCAGGTACGGAAAACGTTTCCCAAAGGATGGTACGATCGAAGACAAAAAAGGTATCGAGGGCTTGAAATAGAAATGTTGATTGGCACGCGAGCGTACAAAAACGAATAGTCTGAAAATGGTTATTCTTATTGTCGTCGTCGTCGTTGTCGTCGTCCCCTCTGCCCCCGCGACCCCCCGGCGACCCACCCCGCGACCCACCCGCGACAGCCTCTTCACTCTTTTCCACAATTGCGAGGCGTCCCATTTCGAAACACGACTTCCCATGAGATCCTGGCGTCGCATCCTTTTCACAACAGGCGAATGTTTTCCTGGTTCCAGGACCTCCGACAACCACAGATCGATCCGGCTCCAATCGGGGATGGACAGAACCCCCTCTAGCAAATCGTGGTTCAGTGAAAACGACCTCGGGCCCAAACCTGGCGGGCGCAAGCCTGAATAGTGACGGCCGCGGCGCCCTTTCGAGAACCAAAAACAGACAATTCACTAATCGACGTGTCAGGGTAGGGGTTCTGTCCACCCCCGATCCAAAAATGCGACAGAAGGTGAAAACGACCCCGCCAGGCCCCAGGACGGTCAGACATCGCCTCGGGATGACAGGCAGGCCTTGGGGAAAGGTCGAGAGCGGCCAAGAGGGGGGGGGCGCAAATCATGGTCCGCGGCCACGTGCGCGGCCCAGGGGGGGGGCCAGGGACGTCTTGAAGTAAGAAGGGGCGCCATGAAACCTGGGGAGATATCATGGCCCCTGCCATGAATTTCCCCCCCCCTGGTCATCACCCCCCTCTTGGCCGCCCAGGGGAACAGGTCAGGACTCCGTCAGGACTTCTGGGGAACCACGTGGTGAAAATCCAGCAGCTACGCTTCGCCGAGAGCGCCCTGAGGGCACCGAGCAACCCGAGTTGTGGCACGAGCATCAGATGTTCAACTGAAGACCTCTCGGTGGGGTCCGAGTAGATTGAGCTGGAGGATCACGCCGCATCGCTGATGCAGAGATGCATCTGCGATGCATCGGTGATCCATCGGCGATACATCGCCGACGTCGGCGTGTAGATCATCGGGCTCCACATCGAGCCGCATCACGGATGCATCGGCGATGCGGCGCGATCCTCCGACCCCATCTACCCAGGCATGTGACAACCTTATTTTCTTCAATACGCGGTCACAGGAAATCCTGAGGTCGAGAGCGGCCCAACACCTCCCGCCGTGATTTCCTCACGACGCGAATGTCTGGGAGGCCTGGATCAACGCCTCGAACAAAATGTCATTGCCAAATCTTGTTCGCGGCTTTGGGCCCCCAAATCCTGGGTTGCCGGAGGTGCTCCTGGCCCAAGGTGCCCCCGGCTGTTCGCTCCATCTTGCAGCCCCTGGGGCCCTCTTGACCTCGTGAGGGGTGGTCCAGAGGCCGCGGGGGCCTCCTTGGCAATCCTGGGGGCACCTTGGGCCAGGGGCGCTTTTCGGGTCGGGCGAAAGGTGGGAATAGCAAGGGGGTGGGTTCAGAATCAGCTCACGTAGCTGATTTTCCCGGCGTCTCCCGGCGCTGGAGGCGGCTATGTATCGAGGCATGAGCCCCTCGGTGAGGCCGAAGCCAGCTGCATGCAGCAAATGTCGTAACCCCCCCTATTTCCGTATCCCCCCTTTCGTCCAGCCCGAGTGGTCTGGAGGCCGCGGGGGCCTCCTTGGTAATCCTGGGGGCACCTTGGGCCAGGGGCCATTTCTAGCAGCACCCGACACGAGCTTCTCGCCGGACCCCCGGGGGGGGGGCTGGCAAGCCGCGGCCCCCCCTGGCCGAGGAGCCGGCCCGGCTTCGAAGACCGGGGCGGGACTTCCAAAATGCCCCCGCGCGGACAACAACAAAAACCAAGACGTCGGACAACAACAAAAACCAAGAAATCGGACGTCGGACAACAACAAAAACCAAGACGTCGGACGACAACAACAAAAAACAAGACGTCGGACAATAACAAAAACCAAAACGGAATACAAACGGCCTTGTCGCCGCCAGGGCCCACGCAGGCACCTCGTGGACCCTGGCGGCGACAAGGCCGTGCTGTGTTACGTTTTTGATTGCCCGTTCCGGCGCCGTCATGATGTTCCTACTGCCGCTTGTCCTCCCGCTTCCACATTCGGGAGAGCTGCGTCGGAAACGGCGAAAAAGCGGCCCTGCCGTTTGCGGGGCCCCAGTGGGGCCCACGCAGGCGTCAGCGACGTCGGCCTCGGCCCACGCAGGCGGCGGCGACGGGGGAGGCAGCGACGTTGGCGCGGCCGGGGCGGCGGCGGCAGCAGCAACGACGGCGGCGACGGCGGCCACAACCCTCGGACAGGGCGCTGGCTGTACACACCTGCCCCCGTCCTGGCCAGGCCCGTTATGGGCCCAGGGCCGATGACGACGCCCCTCTGGCCTGGGCGGGAGACGTGCAGCCCGACCCCGGGCCCAGGATTGGGCCTGGCCAGGATGGGTGCAGGTGTGTATGCCCTGGCTTGCTCTGACCCCTGCTGACCTTCGCCGACGCCGAGAATCGAGGATGAAGGTTCGAGTATCGGCGTTTCTTGGGCGCTCTTTTGCTTCGAGCCCCTCCACCCCAGCCAACAGGCAACATGCAGGGGGGACAATACCACTCGCTCCTGACAAGCTAAACGCAAAACGCGCCCGACAGTGACGCAGGGAAGAGGGAACGACGACATGGCGGAGGAAAGCCCTCGGCGGGACTGGCTCCTCCCACCAACGCTCGTCCAGCGAGACCACCCTCACGGCGCTCGCCTCCAAGCCAGCCGCCCGGGCGCAGGCCCGCGCCACGCCGTTGATGGCGTGCGCCTCCTTCGCCAGAGGGGTCCTCCTCCTCCTCCTCCTCCTGCTCCTGCTCCTGCTCCGGCTTCTCCTCCTCCCCCCTCGTCGTCCTCCCCCTCCTTCCTGCCGTCCGCGGCCCTCCTGCTCCGTCCTCGCTCCCTCCGGCCGTCGGAGATCCGGGAGCTGACGTTCGGACACGCCGTCGGCATCTCTGGCCAGGCCCCCGACGCTTCCACGGAGTCCAGAGTGGGGGGACATCCGGACGTTTCCTGGGTACCTCCCGGCGACTCCGCGGCCATCTCATGCCGCCGCCGCCGTGGGAATCATGTTGGGGGCATTCCTTGGTGTGGTTGTGAGCCCAAGCTTAGCATGGGGGACGCGGGTCCTGAGGGATACGGATCCTCGACCCTGGGAGGAGCGGAGGAGGAGGAGGAGGAGCAGGAGTAGGAGGAGGAGGAGGGGGAGCAGAAGGAGGAGGAGCAGGAGGAGGAGGAGAACGAGGGGGAGCAGAAGGAGGAGGAAAGGGAGGAGGAGTGCCTTCCCCCGGGACAAGCGTTTCATCCCAAGTCGTTCTCGGACGGCCCCGAAGCCCGTGGGGGGCCCCGAGGGCCCCGAAACGGCGAAAGACCTCAGGACCCGAATCCCTCAGGACCCGTTTTCCCCCATGGCGATGCCAAGCATCCAACGCTCTTCCTGGATGTTCAACCTTGGCGGCCCGCGGCAGGCCCCGGGACCGTCAGAACACGACTCGGGGTGACAAGCGGGGCCCCGGGAAAAGGGTCGGGACTTCGGGGGGCCCGGCATCGAAAAACAGCCCAGTCGAACTGGAGTGGACAGGACACCCATGGCCCATGGCGACGACAAGGCATCATGGGCCGAAGAACAATGATGCACAGATGCCCGCGCCAAGCTACTCATCCTCATCCGGAGATCCTCCTTGAACAACAACCGCCCCTCCTTTGGGAGAGCAGAGGTCCAACGAGCCCGAGCTCTTATATGAGCTGTTTTGTGTGCTTGGCCTCCGCTAGTGCTAGGAGCAGCTCCCTGAACTTCGAGTCTTTGAGGGGCATGAATTGTGGTCCTACACATGATTTTCATAGCCGCTCGGATTGCATATCACTCTGGATGAGTGGGAGGTCCACTGTACATATGATGCCATCTGGAAGCTGCCGCTTCTGCCGCCGACTCCGAACGAAAACGTGGGCGGGGACAGGCTTATGATACCGTTTTTTCCAGGAGCGGAAGCTCGGCGCCAGCCTCAACCCCGCGACCACGCCAGCGCTGCCTCGCTGAAGAAGGAGGCTCCCCTGCTCGGGGACTGGTGGAGGAACACAATGCGAAACAAACGATAACGACCACTGTGGGAAAACAAAATGCTCGTGGGTCCCCGACACATAGTCGGAAGCGAGCCCGGGGGGATTGAGAAGGAGCGGGCCTTCTCAGAATGATCAGAAGTCTTGTGACCTTCTGGTAGTTCTCGAAGCATTCCCCGAAGACGCAGGGGTTTTCTCAGAAGGCGCGATCTGCTCTTAGAAATCCCGCCGCATTCTGAGAGGGCCTTCTCCTTCCCATTTACCCCCTCGTTCGCCGCCGATAGAAGCAACATTGATACAGTGGAGACCATTCCACAAGAAACATTCCACAAGAAGTCCAACCCTGAGACCCCAGGACGTCCACTGATTTTTGGTGTCGGAACGTCACGCTTCCAATAGCAAAACCATCGAATCCATGAAACCCAGGGCACCCTGGATGCAAGCAGGGTGTTTCTTGGCATGGGCCTCCACTGTAGTGCAGAACTGGCGTCACCAACCGCCACCTTCCAGCTGTGCACTCCACCGCTGAGCTGGAACCACTTCGGCGGGACGGCCTCTGGAGGGGAGCCCGCGGCCTCAGCGAAGAGCATCACCGGGCTGCGCCGGCTTCGTGGACATTGCTCCCATTGTCACGACCAGGATGTGGATCGTGAGAGCACGCGTGCAGGCCCTCGCCATCGCTCGGACGTCCATTCCGTGTGCTTTTGTCGGTTTCGTGCGTGGTTGTTTCGCCAAATGGTCAAGGATGCTCCTCGATGGTCCTCGCCGAAGGAAACATGCACACGTCCGAGCCATGCCGAGGGCCTGACGCGTGTCAAACAATCCCGCTGGAGCCAAGAAGGCTCGCGGAATCCAACGTTCGGAAGCTCTAAGCTGCGGGGCCAGCAAGATCCGACGATCGTGAATGCCGCACTACGCGGAGACGAGGCGGATGTTTCGCGGATGGAAGGCACCCTCCGCAGAAGCGAGGCAAAAGGTGAGGGGAACCAGGCTCGGAAAGGGTACTCTCTGCAGAGACGGGGCGAAACTTCGAGATACGAATCTCGGGAAACCAGTCTTCGCCAATACGAATCTCGAAAAATCGCCCCTGCAGAGACAAGGCAGAAACTCCGCAAGGCAGATATCGGAAACGCACCCTCTGCGGAGAAGAGGCGGAAGGCATGAAGGAGGCCAAGAGCTTTATCCACGCTTCGGACCCTCTGGCATCCGCCAGCATGCGGGCCGCGCGGTCGTCGTCATCGTCGCCGTCGTCGACGTCGTCGACTTCATCGTCGTCGTCGTCGTCGTCTACGCCGCAGCCGTCGATGTCGCATTCGTCGTCGTCGTCGTGGACCGCCTCCTCCTCCTCCTTCTCCTCCTCCCCCTCTTCCTTCTCTTCCCTGCGAGTCCAAAGTTATCCGTGGTCATCCACCACCTGGGGGACCGATCCCCCAGGAGCCCAGGTGCGCGGCGGATATGGATATGGATATGGACATGTGTGTAATTAGTGGGAGCAAACGATTAAACCAACTTTTTGGGGCGGACGATTACAACAATAGTTTCGCGGGCCTTCGCGCCACTTCAATAGCAGGGGGGCGGGGCAGGCAGACGGAGGGCGGACAATCCTGGGTTATCTGGAGGCCTGGAGGGGGGGCGTGGGCTGACAATTCAGGGCGGGGGGGCGGGGGGTCAATTCAGAGCCGGGCAAGCAAAAGCTGGCAAGGACTTCGCGGGCTGACGATTCGAATCCGCAGGGGCCGACAATTCGAGGCCGCGGGGGTTGCTTTTGGCCAGCCCTCAATGGGAAGTAGACATTTCTGATCCGCCAGTCCTGCACGGCAGACATTCTGCGCCGCCTTCAGACAGCGACCTCCTTCCCCACCTCCTCTTCCTGTTCTCCTCCCCTTCCTCCTCCTCCTCCTCCTCCTCCTCCTCCTCCTCCTCCTCTCCGCTTTTCTATCCCTTATCACCTTCCCACCGCTCATTATTGTTCCGATGCAATTTTTCAATGTGAATAGTAATCCCCTTTCTCACCTGATGCACTCCGGAAGATTGCCTGCACCCTTCCGCGTTTTAATTACACACAGGGTTGGCGCGAATCCGTTTCTCGCATTTGTTTGTTCAATCGGAACGTGTTCGGCTTTTCCGGCATGTTGTTCCCGCTGTAACGCTGGCCTCATGTTCGAGTTTCCGCTCGGTTCGAATCCTCCCGCGCGCTGTGTTTACGCAGAGGATTGGGGGAGTGTGTTGTACACATGTGTTGCTCAATCCGAACGCGACGACGACGGATGGACCGTCCTCAGGTTGGTTGTTAAATCGGGGGTGAAAAACACTGCATAAACATAATTTTTCGGCGGCGGAGGACCTCTGGAGGCTGGCCAAGCCTTACGTCGGGCGTGTCCCCCTACAGGGGGATTTTAAAAGACAAATAAAAACTACAAGCAAAAATATTCCAAGATGGCAGGACAAATGCCCCCCAAACAGTCCCCAGATTGTTTCTGGTATTTTTGAATATTCCTCCTGTAGAGGGACGGGCCCGACTTACGCCAAGCCGCAGAACAGCAGCGGCAACGGGCTGGACAACTGGGGGGCACGAAGAGCTGCGGCTTCTGCCGTTGGAGGCTTTTTGCACGGGCTGTCGGAAGCGTACTCCTCGGTCGAGAGCGAGGGCGGTTTCCAGGAGCACATGTGCGGCGTGATCGAGGCGCTGGTCACTAAAGGTGTCGCAACCTTGGCCTGCCGCGGCTCTACCGCCTCTGGGCCACGGCCAGACAGCCAGTCGTGCAGACGTGGGCGTGGGGCAGCGTGCCAGGCAGAGGAGCCCCGGACGCCGCCTGGCTCTCGGCGTGGAGAGCTGAGACGGCGAAGGCCACCCGCCGCAGCTACGCCGCGTTCCTCTTCGACTGCCGCCGCTGCTGCGAGACGGCGCCCCTCGGTAGGGCTGCCGCGGCCGCCCGCAGGGAGCGCTACCCCAGCCGCCTCGCGCGCGCGGCAATCACCCGGTATGTGCCGTGCCGCGGGCGTTGCGCCTGGCCAAACCGCTCTAGCACTGGCGTCTGCCCACGGATGGCCTGGTGGTTGGTTGCGGCGTGGCCGGCAGCGTCCCTGCACTGACCATCGCTCGGACGTCCATTCCCTGTGTTTTTGGTCGGTTCTGTGCGTGGTTTTTTCGCCAAATGATCAAGGATGCTCCTCGATGGTCCTCGCCGAGGAAAAATGCACACGTCCGAGCGATGCCAAGCGCAAAGGTGGCCACCCCTGTCCGAGCTGCGCATGCGGCGAACCCCATGCCCGAGGTGCGCCTGGTGGCCGACGATTGCGACTCGGATGCCGTGGGCCCCAGCCGGCTGGTCGCGCCGAGCTTGCGAGACGCGGCCCTCGCGTGGCGCGCCGGCATCGAGAGCCAGGGCGGCGAGCTCAACATGGGCAAGACACGGGTGCTCGCAAACTCGCAAGTGGCCAGGCGCGCCCTCCGCAGGGCCGGGGCGAGAAATGGAGGCTAACGCAGACGCCGACAACGCTGCCGAATGCGGCCTGGAAAGCCACGTGCTCCTGGCGGGCAAAGTGCGCCGTGTCCGTGGCATCGACGAGAAGGTCGGCATTGTCCTCGGCCACATGGCGGAGACTGCGGCCCGGGAAGCAGGAGGAGGCTGAGCGCAACGGCCAGGCTCGCACCCGCGCTTTCTCTTTCTTGCCCCCCCCCTCCCCTCCTTCCTGCCTCTCCCTGCTGCCAGGGCCGCAGTGCGAAAGCGCCAGACCGCGTGAATTTGAGCTTTGCCTTTGCCTGCTCCTCCTCCTCCTCCTCCTCCTCCTCCTCCTCCTCCTCCTCCTCCTCCGTCTTCCTCCTTTTCCTCTTGTCCTCCTTCTCACCCTTCGTGCATCCTTACTCCTCGTTCTTCCCTCCTGCTCGCTCCTCCTTACTCTTTCCTCACCCTCCGCTTCCCCATGCTCCTACTTCTCCTCCTCCTCCTCCGCCTCCTCCGCCTTCTCATCCTCCTCCTCGCCCTTCCCTTCCATTGCTCAAGATCCTCTTCTCGTCCCCCCCAAACCTTTCACTTCACACCTGCGTCGCCCATCTTCGCTCATCAGATTCCCTCCGTATCCTTTACCTCCTCTACGGCCTCCTCCTCCCTTCCGCCATTGCGCCGTCATCCTCATCCTCCTGTATGTTCTCCCCGTATCCTGCGGCGGGGTCCAGCTGTGCTCTAAGAAAAGAACTATGCCCTCGAAACCGACGTGGAAGTGGTACCTCGTGAAGCTGTGATTGACGAACGCAATGCAAAATAGTTCGATCACTCGATGGGTCAGAGGCTTACACTCGAAATACTGCGGCAATGCCAACGAGCGATCTAGATTAGGCTCATAGGAACATAGCCATGACGGCTGGCCCTTTGTCATGCATAAGGCTGCTGGACCCACGAAACGGCAAACTTCCATGACCACGATTCGGGGATCTTCTGACCCTGGTCAATCCAGACCCAGGTCAGCAGGAAATCAAAAAACTGCAGTACAAGTCTTCGCAAACCAGGGTCAGCCAATAGGCGCGGCCGCCTCGCGGCCACGAGCGGCTCGCTAACCCGGGTCAGCCAGAGGGGGTCTTCGCAGGATCCTGCAGGATCCGGTGCCCTGGCTGACCCCCGTCTGCATTGACACCCGTCACAAGGCTCCCGAACGATCATCAGTTCAAAGATGCCGGCTCACGCGTTGTTCCTTCGGTGCGAGCGCTCGTGCAATTGTTATCGCTTTCTGCAGGGCCAGGGTCACGCTCGCATTTGCTGTGGGATATGGACAGCTTCTCTGCGGAATGCTCGAAACATCAAACGTCCGCTGACCCTATCTGCAAGAGTGAGGGGGGGCTCCTGAGGTGGCAGGGTTGGTCCTGGGAGACGCGGATCCACTGGGCTCTCCGAGCTCGCCAGTCCGAGATGAACCGACCCAGGTCGTAGTCGAGTCGAAGGAAAGCCCCTTCCCATCCTCCCACACCAGGGGAGTGGGGTCCAGAGAGAGTCAGGAGATCGCAAACATGGATCGAGGGGGCGTGGATTAGCGACGGGTCCCGCTTCCATCGGAAATAGCGGAACGAGGCGGTACCGGCCGCATTTTTGGAGGGCACCTCCCCCGCTCCACGTCTGCGCGCCGCCGAGGGAAGGGGGGGGGGACCTCCCCGCGCCGCTCCCACCTCCCTGGAGTGTCTCGGCCGATCCTGGGACCAGTTCTTTCGGCTTGGGCAGCGTGGGCCCACTGGATGGAGCCCTCCCAGGGCCAAGATCGGCACTCCTGGGAGCCTCGTGGGCCGTCAGGGAGGTCCCCGCGTCTGGACCAAGACCACAGTCGGCCGAGCCCCATTGGCTTTTCACTCTCGCCGCATCGGACGCACGAGCGGCCAAGACGGCCCAAAGGGCTCCCAATGGGGCCCGAGATGCCCACAAAACGACTCCAAAAGGGCCCAAGAAGAACGCCTCTGCCCCCAGCGCTGAACCCTACCCCTCAAACATCCCAACGCTGAACCCCAAGAGGGTCGCAGAGGCCCCGACGAGAAACCCAAGGCGGGCCAAAGGAGGCCTATGATAGCCCCAAGACGGAGCAACGGGCTTGGTGTCTCTCCTGGATGCCACGATATCCGTATACAGGCGGAAATGCGTCGCAATCGAATCATGGAAGCAGACGGGGGTGTCAAGAGGAGGGACAAGGCAAAATAAGCTCAGAATTCGTCCCGAGAGCCCTCCAGGAGTCGAAACTGAGAAATTGTTCCAGCCGAATCCAGCCATGGCAACGTGGTGGCCCTTTTCTCACCTCTCTGCTGGCCGCGGCCAATACTGGCCCATGTCAGCCCTCCAGCCGGCTCCAAATCTTGTAGGGAGCAACTCCTTGAGGTCTTCGTCAGAACGTTTCAGGGCTATCAAGCCAAGTCAGGGGCCACTGTGCCAGACTAGGGCCGACTAGGTCCTCATTGAACCCGATTGAGCCGGATCAGGCCAGATTCAGCGGGACTAACCAGCATTATGCTGGATTGGGCTGGATGCCGACTACGAGTATACCAGCGCCGAGGCCGAAGTTCGTCTCCCAGGGATTGCACCCTGACAGATCGCACTGCGCGTCCAGGTCTGGGCTAGGACGGCTAGGACTTATGTCGGGCGTGACCCCCTACAGGAGGATTTTCGATGAACAAATACTCCAAAAATACCCCCAAAAAGGCAAACAAATATTCAAAAAATAGTCCCCAGACACTTTTTGGACTAGTTTTTGATCATGTTTAGCGTGTCTTCAATTTTTCGTCGACAATCCCCCTGTAGGGGGACAGGCCCGACTTAAGGCTAGGATATGGGATGCGCAGGCGCGGACGACCGACCACACGCAGCCCGCGGCGGCAGCGGCAAGACACGTCCGGGCGCCCCGTGGATCGAGCACTCCGCAGATCTCTTGGAGCGCGCCGCCCCGAGCGCTCCTCGAGCTCTGCTCTCGGGGGTCGTCCAGGACAGGGGCGCCCGAGGGGGGGATTCGCCAATCGTGGCGCGAGGCAAGAGCTCGGATGAGGGGGAGGACAGGGGACGCATTGAACGAAGAGGAGGGGCGATAAACTCTGGGAGTATAGCAAGGCCCCAGCCATGACATCATGCCCCACTGAGCATCACCCCCCTCTTGGCCGCCCCCGTGGCCCTGCGTTCCACACAGTCGTGATGTTGAACCAGGAACGTCGGTCTTGAGCATCCGCAGGCCAAAGCACACACGGAGATACTGAGATGCCCCATGTAGTAGCATCCCCAGGTGGAAAACAAACAAGACGCAAAGAGCATGAGGTTTCACCTCCAAAGCTATCGTGCTGCTCTCAATCATCGCACCAGCAGCGAGAATGACATGTAAGTATAGTCGTACGGGTACATACGCATGGGTTTTCGAAGGTCCGCGCTGAGATTTTGGATCGGCGCTGGATCCCACTCCCTGGCGCGCAGAGCGCAACAGAGGCGGCACCGCGGGCGCTGACAAATTTGGCTTGCAACTGACCCCAATGAACTGCGCGGAAATCGAAAAAAACATCCCGGTGCCCTAGGCGAATCCAGCCGTAGCGACGACGGAAGGGTAGCGGCATCGGCATATCCCTGAAGATGCGAGGCCCTGATGCCTTGAAAGGCCGAAGGCCCTGGAACTCCCTACCCCTTCCCCAGAGATTGACCTAAACAGTGTTCGTCGTGTTCGTTATGCTTTCGCTCTCCCTCGTTTTCACTCAATTCCCTCAATTTGTTTTCCTTCGTTTGTCTTCCCTGGCTTTCCCTACCCTTCTCAAAGAGGGCATTTCATGTTTGACAGTCTGGGGGCTCAGTGAGGGCTTACGGACCGAAAACGGCAAGAGCAAGTCTGGGTTTTCCGCGGGGACACCGAACGACCATGACCACACCGAGAACATACCCTTGGATATTTCCTGCGCCTGCTAACAATCGTCAGAACACCAAAACCAATTTGGTACTGGTTGTGGCCGATGTGGGCGTCACAAGACGACCAGATCGACAACAGCCACAACCAAAATGTTCATGTCGAGGTCGGTGGGTTGCTTCCCGAAGGGCCCTCCAGAGAAAACCAGTCACTTGTGGTTGTGGCTCACTTTGACCATGCCCGGATTTTCCTCCCCTGGACGAACTCATTTTCATTTGTTTCGCGGTAACTCCCGTGACTTGGAGTGTGAACGTGGGAGTCGGGCCCAGGGTCCCGGCAATGGTGTCCATATGGGCGATTGCTCTGTTCGGCGGGGGAACCAATTGAAGCTCCCCGCCTGCACCCATGCGCGAGACTTGAAAGTAAACGAAGCGAGGAGGCGGGGGGGGGGCGGGAAAGGCGACGAAGGCAGCGTGCGCTGACGGCGCAAAAAAAGTTTGAATAAACGAAAGCGGTGAGGTGAGTATCAACATCTGCCCAGCCAATCTGACATGCGGAACGCTGCGCCTCAGTTTGGGGGATCTTGAGGGCCAGGGCAAAATGTGAATTCACATTGACGGGAAAAGCAAAATGTGAATTCACATATTGGGGAAAAGGAAAATGTGAATTTACATTTTGGAAACAAGGAAAATGTGAATTCACATTTTGGGAGAATCGCGGGGCCCATTCCAAATCTGTCTTGGGGGTCGGCAAGTCATCGTTTGGGAACATACGTGATCATCAATCGCACAATCAAGACACGCTTGCACTCCACTTCACCGCCCCACGCGTGATATGCAAGAACGCCCGCACGCATGCACGATGATGGATGGACGGCGCGTTTGCCCGCGCGGGCAAAGCGTGGGCACGAACGAGTGGCCATCCATGATCGCCAACATTGCATGCCAATCAAACGCGATCACATACATGAGCGATACATTGAGCATACATGGGCCATTCAGCCCCCATTGAAGACCCCCTGTTACTGACCCCTTCTTTCACCCTCCAAATGACTGGCACGCCCCTCCCCCTTCCCCCCCTGGTCACGTCACGATTCCCGCCGGCGCCGTCTGGAAACTGGGTTCCTGAGGCATCCCCAGACGGCGCCAGCGCGAATCGCGACGTGACCGGCCCCTCCCCCCCCCCCTGCCCTGGTCACGCCCATTACCCTGAGGTCCGACATCTCGAAAAAAAACGTCTTGGACAAGCAGTACCAGAGCCCTAGACCTCATCTTGCTCCACCATGTTTCGAGCCAGATCGATCTGTGCGGGTCCCTGGGCCTGAGATCCGGCGAGAGCGCCCGCTGCGGAAGAACTACCGCTTCAGGATCTCAGGGTATCGCAACATGTCTATATAAATATATATATATGTACTATCTATAAATCCAGAGAGAAAAACACAACCAGTGGATGGTTTGAACATCAGTGATATGGACATTGAGATCGATTGCATGATCGATCGTGAGATCAAAAGTGGCATTGATACTGAGGACGATAAAAAACGATAATAAGACCGATAATGAAACCGATTCAGTGAGATCGATAGTGTGATCGATCTTAAGATCGCTCGTGCGATCCATAGTTAGACCGATTGTGAGATCAATTATCAGATCGATTGCGAGATCGATAGAGAGGTGAGTTATAGACCTTGGAACCCTGCCGCCCAACGAAATCGGCCCAGAACCCGGAACCGGGGGAACCGGGAATCCGGAACCGGGAACCCGGGAACCCGGCGGTCTACCGAAATCGGCCGCCAACTTTCGCCAAATCCTTCACGATCCGCCAGGACTCAGGACCCCTTCAGTGCAAGCACGGACTGGGGAACAACATGCAAGAACATCGGTCTCGACTCCGACCGCCCCGAGAGGAGACTCGCCATCGCTCGGACGTCCATTCCCTGTGCTTTTTTCGGTTCCGTGCGTGACTTGTTTCGCCAAATGATCAAGGATGCTCCTCAAGGGTCCTCGCCGAGAAAAAAATACACACGTCCGAGCGATGCCAGGGTCCCCTCCAAGAAGCTCCCAAGAGGCCCCAACATTCCTCCCCAGTGGCCGCCCAGAGCCCTCCGAAAAGGACCCCCCTGGGGACTCTGGCCCTCGTCGGCGCCCCCCTGGGGACTCTGGCCCACTCTGGCCCACTCTGGCCCCGGGAGAGGAGAGGAGCGCGCCTCAGGAAGCTGCGCAGGGAGGACAGCGTGGTGCCCGCCAGGAGGAGCGCCGAGACGAGCAGCCGGGGTAGGCCCTGGGCCACGGGGCCCGCGCCTGCCGCCGCGGGGGCCCGCCGGCAGGAGCCGTCGGCATCGCATCGGTAAATCGGATCGAGTCAGATTCTCGCCATCGCTCGGCTGTCCATTCCTTGTGCTTTTTTGGTTTCGTGTGTGTGTGTGTGTGTGTTTTTTCGCCAAATGATCAAGGATGCTCCTCGATATGCACACGTCCGAGCGATGTCGAGGATTGCGCGCGGGCCCGCGCCTACCGCCGCGGGGGCCCGCCGACAGGAGCCGTCGGCATCGAATCGGTAAATCTTACCAGCCTGGAACATATCCCGATCCCTATGCTGGGCATCGCCCCATCACGATGCCAATCCTAGGGATTCCCTCCGTCTTTGAGGGCGCATCCCTAGGATTGCCATCGCCTTCCGGCGTGTCAATCTCAGGGATAGGGATTGGTTCGAGGCTGGTGAAAATCGGATCGAGTCAGGTTGCGCGCGGGATCGTTGAGACGAAGCCAGGACGAGGATAACAACGGGTGAGGATCGAGTGGGAACCTCTGACATCTGGCGGCTCTGGAGGATGCCTCGGGCGCAGCGGCCTTCCCAGAGCGTTCCGGGCCGCTCTGATAGCGTTCTGGAACGCTCTGCAACGGATGTATCCTCGTTCTGTGTGCGTCGGATCGTGCCGCATCGGCACGAAACTGAAGTCGAATCGGATCGGCTGCGCCAGGATGCATAACAGCCACGTGCAAGCATCGGGCCGCATCGGATCGTGCCAGTCCGCGGGCCGGCCGGAGCCGATATCGTATCGGATTGATCGGATCGAAGTGGACAGTTCATCATGAGGAACACCATGGAGGCCTCGCGCGGCAACTCGAGTCCCGACTTGCTTCGGATCCACGTCGGATTCACGCTGGGTTCCCGTCGGATTGCGTCAGATTTACGTCGAATCCATGCTGACTTCCCGTCGGCATTGCGTCGGAACATAACCGCGCGAACGTCGGGAGCGAAAGTGTGGACTGGATATTCCAACTACTGCGCGCCGCGCGAGGCCACCAGGGTTCCTCAACGGGCATCGACTCGGGACATGCTCGCGTCGTAAAAAAACACGACCCAAAATGCTTGCTCCTGGGGGCCCTCCCTAGGCCCTGGGGCCATCAAGAGTTGTGGATCCCACGACAATGGACACCCTAACAGTCCTATCATTGAATTCTAAATGTGTTGGCAATATAAGAAATATGATCTAAACATGTTTTAAACACGTGTTTTACATGTTTGAAACATGTTTATCACATGTTTTAGGCATCTGGAAATGATTCGGCAACATGCTTCCTCTCCACTGATCGTCCTCCACGAATCAAGAGAGACTGCTCGGGGTGAAAGGCAGGTGCTGGGGCAAGGCTCGGGAATCATGGGGACCGCGCATCAACAAAGACCAAGACCTCGCACGTGTGGGCCTGGGGATCGGCTCGGGGGAAACCCTGCGATCCTGGCGACGCATGTTTTACCGACTGGCGGCAATGCCCTGCTTTGCGCCCCTGCACCCGCACGAAATCGATCTGGCGTTTTACCGACTGGCGGCAATGCCCTGCTTTGCGCCCCTGCACCCGCACGAAATCGATCTGGCCCGAGGCATGCAGCAGAAAGGTGAGGTCTGGTGCTCCGCGGGGCGAGAGGGAAGGATAGCAGAGGGCTGGGTAGATAAGCAGCTCTCGTTGCTGGTTTTCCTGGCGCTGGGAGGCGCCCGTGTATCGAGAAATCGGCCTGGCGGCGAAGCCGAAACTTGCTGCATGCAGCAAATTTCGTGCCCCCCCCATTTCCCTATGCTACCTGCTCGTTCAGCCCGATATACCCCTGGGATCACAAGGACACATTGCGTGAGCACAACCTGTCGGATCTCCGCGCGGATTTCTTGGATCGGCGCTGGGCCCCGCGCGTGCGACGCGTCCAGCGCCCGCCCCTGGCGCGCTGTGCGCGCCAGACAGAAGGGCCCGGTTTTCAGGCGTCGGATATGAAATTGCTTGGTCTTCGGGAACTTGTGTCTGTTCTTCTTCGAGCGATGACGGGGGGTCTACGGTAGGAAGCAAATCCAGGAAGGTCTACGTCGGAAGGATTGAGAGCGGTTAAGCCGAACTATAATGCAAATTCACCGGATGAGGCCGGATTAAGCCTGGGATCAAGCCAAATTCAACTGGATAGAGCTGGATCAAGCGGGACTAAGCCAGATTAGCCCAGGTTAAGCTGGTAATCGACCGTTCGCTGGTCTCTGGTCTCTGCTGACGTCGCGCGGATCGTCCAGCATTGAACGATCGGCGGCTCTCCGATCGCATCGATAGGTAGCTCCATGATGAACCCGATTCTGAGGGCCACCAGCAGAGTCCAGCGCACGGTCTTGGCCCCTCCAAGGCCGCGGTGGCCCGAGACGTTCTTGGAGAACGACCCGAATCGCAAAAACCGTGCGGTGACCCCGAATCCCAACTGACTCACCAAGCGGTGTGCTCACCACACCGTTTGGGGCCCCACAAGCCCCACACCGTTAGGAACGTACCCGTGCGACCGCGTATCCGCGGGATTGCGCCCCAGAAGCCAGACCGCGAGGCGTTGTTACTGACGCGTTCCCCGCTCGTGTAAGGGAATTCCCAAACCGCAAAAACAAAACCTTTCGGAGTTCCCCGCGGATTTCTTGAATCCGCGCTGGGCACTCCTCCCTGGCGCGCGGAGCGCGCCAGGAGCGGTACAATACCAAAGGCCCCGCCCGGGGTGTCCAATGGCAATCCGAGAAATCCGCGCGGACCTCCGAAAATATACTTTTACGCGGGCTTCTGGCTTCCGAGATCTGTTCCCCGCTTGTGACAACTGGGCCTCCCGATACCCGCTGGCGCTGGAAGCGCAGGTAACGGGGCCGCAACCAGCCGGGGCCCGCGGAGTGAGGCAAGCTTTTGATCCAGGTCCATACCCACTGCAGTGAACTGGTACATTCCCCGGTGGCACCCGGGAATGTACCAGTTTGCGGGCGCTCCTCTCGCGAATGTTTCGAACCGGGTCGTCCTGCAAAAAACCTGCTGAGGATATGTGCAACCATTCTCCCCCAAAAGTGGCCGTCGAATGTATCGGTCGGTGCGCGTTATTGTTATATTTGTCGTAGTTGTCCTAGTAGAAGATATATAAACGTAAAGAAGGAACGAATTGTGTATGCAACGAATGTTTTCAACGTGAGAGAGCTGTGTATGCCGAGTGCTTACAACGTCCATGAAACAACAACGAAACGCATATGATACGTACAAATACACGAAGCGCGTGTGGAACGTAAGGAGATCGTATATCATGTGCGGCGCGTACCTGAAACGCATATGAACGCGTCGTACAGATACATGAAGCGCACACGAAATTATACACGCATGCGGCATGTACACGCGACATACGGAAACACGCCTAGGCGAAACGTGCGCGGTACGTCGTCGCCACGTACGCGAAACGCATGCGAAACGTATACGCAACGTATACGAAACATAAACATGACGTGTACGAAACGTGTATGGACCGTACACAACATGTAGACATATTGTACGCGAAACGTTTACGACACGTGTGCGAAACGTATAAGGGATGTGCACGCAACGTATACCACACGTATACATAACGCTTCCCACGCTCTTTCCCCCTACTCATCCTCTTCCTCGATCCCGCATCCATCCCCCCCCCGCACCCCCTCCCGCTTTCCCTTTCCTGCCTCCTCATTATCCTCCATGCCGCCCTCCTCCTCATCTTCCTGCTGCCGCGACCCCGACCCCCGCCCAACTTCGGTGCGAATGCCTGCGTACTGGGACCAGGCGTGTGGGAGCACGTCCACGCCTCCCTGCGGCGTTGTCCGCATCGCTTGGTATGGATCACACGGATCCTGACGGAAACTGGTCCTGGACCCCATGGTCCTTCCCAGGGACCAACTTTCAATCCTGAATCGTTTTCTGACAGTCCCGGGCTGATCGGCGACGGACCACAGGGAACCGTTTCCTTCATGGCACCCTGTCTGCATCGCGCCCCCTCCTACCACCTGCCCAGCCAGTCCTGTGGCCGAGCTGCCTAAGCGCGCCAGCTTCAGCAGGCTGCGCACGTCGGACATGCAGTCCGCCTCGCGCCTGCCACTGCGGCGGGCCACGCTCGGTGACGCAAGCACGAGAGGCAGGTCAGCACCACCCCAATGGTATTCAGTCGACCAAGGCCGTCCGCGACCCCCTCGCGTCGTGAAAACGTCCCGGCGGACAATTGTTAGTGGCTGCTTCTGGCCTTCTGGGGCCCGCGCCGGGCCTCGGGACCGCCCAAAAACTACTCGGGATGATGAACACCCAGTTCCGGTGAATGGGTCGAGACCTCGGGGAGTCACCGTTAACAATTGTGAAACAATGACGACATCGGGCGACAGCACGACCGAAAACACTACTGAAGCGACAGCGAAGCACAACTCGACTGAAACCGACAGGTCGCAAGCGACGCAAGCCGAAACGGCGCGACGGAAACCAATGGGCCGCAACCGACAAAACGATACCACGATCGACCAATCAAACCAACCGAACACAACCGACGGTGACGCAGCCGAGCCGACACAATATAGGGAGACCAAAAGGTACCAATACCGCTACTTCCTGGACCTCTCCCGGAGTGCGTTCTGACCAGGATGCGAGGCGAATTCGGCGGGGGCGACGCGGGCCTCCCAGGAGGCTTGAAGAGGAGAAACCGGGCGAAGGGTAGTGGTACGGGTGCCATTTCCCCCACTAGCAGGGCTGGACCTAAACGTTGCTGCTCGTCTTGTTTTCGTTCTATGCTTCGTTTTGCCCCATCTGTTTTCCCTGTACCTCCCTACCGAAACGAAAAACAAAACACTGCCGCCGAAATCCAGGGGAAACAGCCTTTAGGCCCAACCCTGCCCTCTGACACACACCCTTGCAGACCCAGAGTCGATTCGAGGCATGAGCCGGTCCTAACTGGGCCGACCGTGGGCCCAGGCTCCGCAGAAGGGCGGTGCCGCGCCGTCCCGCGCGGAGGGTGGCGCGTCCCCGCTACAGCTCTCCATGGCCAGGGCCCCCCGTTGGTCGAGACAAGTGGGCAGAAGCATGCCCAGGCTCTCTGCCCCTGCCTCGTTTTCCCCTTCCTGGGCCTCCTGGGAGGCCTTCGTCGCCACCGCTGGACAGGGAGTAGCGGTATCGGTACCTTTTGGCTTCGCCTTTTGCTGTGTTCTAGGATGGTGTATCGATGATTCATATATCTCAGATGGGCGCATCTTGCGCTGGCGGCCACAGCTTGATATGCATCTAGCGGCGTATATGAGTTGCTGAACCAGCACTTACTGAAGACGAAAGTCATGCTCTTGCTATTGAGCTGTCCCAGAACCACTGTACACTCCACGGCATGTATGGAAGGTGTCCGTGTGTCGAGTGATATTCCCACTATTGGCTTGGGCGACCAGCCAGAGTGCGAAAAGGGGCCAAGGAGGCCAGGGAGGCCATGGAGTGGGCTCTAAACTCCAGATGAGGCAAGGGACCGCAGGTGAGGGGCACGGGTCAGGGAGGCCAGGGAGGCCAAAGGTGGGTTCTGAGGCCCAGCTAAGGCCCGGGAGCCCAGCGGGGGGAGGACGAACGAGGTCCACGACCACGCATTTGCGATAGCATGGCAGCAGCCGAGGCTGCAGCGCAAAATGGCCAATACGATCACATTAGGCAGAATCCGTTATCATTCCACGAACACTTTTCCCTCGCATGCTCCTCCTCCTCCTGCTCCTCCTCCTCCTCCTCCTGAGTATCGTTTAACTTTTAACCGATCCCCATCCCCAGCGCCGTGGCCTGGGCCCCACTGGCCGATTTACCCCCCTAGATGGGGACATAGGTCGTCCCCTTCGGGTTTCGAGGAGTGTATCCCCAACTGGGGGGGGGTAATTTGGTGGGGGCCTCGAAGGGGACGGGGATAGGGATGGGGATCGGTAAAACGATATACGGACCTCCTCTCGGGCCGGGCGAAAGGGGGGGGTAGCAAAGGGGGGGGTTGAAACTCGGCTCACGGAGCTGATTTTCCCGGCGCCTCCCAGCGCCGGGAGGCGGCCATGCAGCGAGGAATGGGCCCCTCGGCGGGGCCGAAACCAGATGCATGCAGCAAATTTCGTAGCTCCCCCCCCCTTTCCCAATCCCCCCCTTTTCGTCCGGCCTGATCCTCCTCCGCCCGCTCGTGGTGCCCGTCGCCCCCCCCAGAGAACGAGTGCCGTTCTCACCGGGAGCCGAGGCTTGCTGCCCACATCTTGCCATCGCTCGGACGCCCATTCCTCGTGTATTTGTCGATTTCGTGCGTGCTTTCGTCGCTAAGTCATCCAGGATGCTCCTCCATGGTCCTCGCCGAGGAAAAAATGCACACGTCCGAGCGATGCCAAGAAATCAGCCAACGTTCCCGCCCGCGCACCGCTCGGTGTCTGTCAGGGCCAATTGTGCACCGGGACGCCACCGAGGCGACGACCCCTCGCAAATGACGTCAGATTGAGGTCGGGCTTGCCCCCCCTACAGGGGGATTTTGGGCGAAAAATAAGAAATCCGCCGATCCGGCGTGTGAGTTTCAGAAGTCTAAGCTGAAGCTCTGCTTGGGGGGGGGGAAGGGGGTGAGGGGGGGCCATGAACTGACGAATTCAATGCTCGGCACCTCCCCTCAGGCGGGGGCGGGAACTGCATGGAAAGGCGGGAGGGTCCGCTTTGCATATGGGCGCTCTGCAAGGGGAGGGGGGGGGAGAGAGGAGAGAGGGGGGGGGACAGGAGAAAGGGGGGGGGGACAGGAGAGAGGGGGGGGGGGGGAAAGGAGAGAGGGGGGGGGGGGGACAGGAGAGAGGGGGGGGTAGGAGAGGGGGGGGAGGGAAGAGAGAGGGGGGGGAGACAGGAGAGAGGGGGGGCAAGGAGAGAGGAGGGGGGACGGCGGGATCATCCCCCTCCCCATCACCATCACCATCACCATCGACACATCAGCACCATCATCAGCATCATCATCACCATCATCCTCATCCTCATCCTCATCCTCATCATCATCATCATCATCATCATCATCATCATCCTCATCCGTAGCGCCCCGCATCGGCTGCACTGGCCGGAGGCCACTACAATACTTAAAAAATACCCCCCAATATACTCAAAAATAGTCAAATAAATTGTCCCCCGACTATTGTTTAACTATTTTGGAAATTCCCTTTGTAGAGGGACATGCCCGGCTTAACCTCCGATTCGCGCCCGCGAGTCCACGATGCATCGTACATGACGTCACGATTACCGGCCGTCCTCGCGTGGGGTTCCGACATCGCGACGAGTCGGCGACCCGTCATCCCAACATGCAATCGGACCTACAGTGGGGGCCCGTCCACAAGAACCCAACCTCGAGACCCCAGGACATCCATGGATTTTTGGCACGGGAACGTCGCGCCTTCCACAGCAAAATCATCGAACCCCAAGAATCCTAGGGCACCCTTGAGGCAAGCAGGATGTTTCTTGGCACGGGCCTCCACTGCAGGACAGCAACACCTCCTTCTAAACATGAGGCTCTCCAGCGGCCTAGCTGACAAGCGTTCGAGGGTGCCCTCCCCCAGGATGCAAAAATAACATCCAACAAACACGAACAACACGAGGGTACCCTTCCCGAACCGACCTCGCTCGTACAACCCGGTCCGACAGTAAGCTGGAAACAATTTGGCGACATGCTTCCTCTCAGTGGACCGTCCTCCACAACCGTAGTCTCTGGCCTGCCCCGGTGTGGGAAAGACGGGGCCGGCGGCAGAGGGCGAAGCCCTCACGGAGAAAGGGATCTCGGGCCCAGGGGTTGAGCAAGGACCGACCGTCCCGGCATTCCGATAGTCCTACCACGAAGAGCTCTCAGAACCCAATACATCTTCTAAGAACAACATCAATGTTTTTAGAACATGAGCCCGTTGTGTTAAAACAAGACAATCCAAACCAGACATGTTCGAAGAACATTTCGTGGGAACCACAAGCGGTTCTTTCTTTCTTTCGACAGAGCGTGGGCCATGGCCCGGCCGAAGAGTCAGCGGTCTAAAGTTAGGAGGGTAACAGCGCAGTTACTAGCCACCGCAAGCCCGCTTCTAGTGCGAAGGCCTCGGCCTCGAACGCCGATGCGAGCCCTTGAACCGGCACCCCTTCTCTCCATGCCGTGGTGTACTTGTACCAGCCTGTGTCCCCGTCCCTGGAGGCGTGGAAGACAGCGAAACCAATGGCGCCTTCGCCGTTGCGCCGTAGGCCGCCGTCGGTACACAAACGCAGGCTGCGGTTGCTAATGCCATCCGCGGGAAGCCCGGGGCCATTCGACCATGACCGTTGCTCGTCCAGCGCTGCATTCACGCAGCAACGCTTGCCACTGCGAGGCAGGACGCTTCGCAACTGCTAAAAGGGGGGGGGGAGACGGGGACGGGGCCACGCGGCCACGGCGGCCCGGCTGCGGCCCGGGAGCCCAACGGGGGGGAGGAGGTTCGCTCGCTCTGCCGGCAGCGGCCCGAGCGCCGCGGCAGCGACGCGCGGGGGTGGGGCTGACCACGGCCACAGCCACGGCCTTTCGAGGAAGACCCCCAGGCCTTGATCCGAAGGCTCGCGTGCCCAACAATCCCCACACTCTCATCCACACGCTACTCCTCCCATTATATCTCCCCTCTGACTTCGTGACCCATGGCCTGACCCGCACCCTGTCTTCCGACACGTGCAACAAGTTGCCGTGCGATGAAAACAGGGGGTTCTCGGGCCAGGCTCGGCAGTTTGGCACAGCGACCTGACCGCTGCTCTCCAAAGTCCTGAAGAGGGGCCCCACTCCAGAGAGTGAAGCAACATCGCTCGATCTCGTGGGATCATATCCAGAAAGGGGGCCTGCGGCAGAGGGCGAAGCCCTTTCTCGGCGGCGAGCGAGGGGGGAATTGAGAAGGAAAAGGCCTGCTCAGCAGGCCTCGGGACTTTGCAGAAGCCCTCGCGCCTTCTGAGACGCAACTTGTGTGTCCTCGGGGAAGGCTCATCCAACTTCTCAGAAGGCAGACAACTTATGAGAAAACCCGCCCCTTCGCCGCCGACAAAAGCACAACGGAACGCTTTCGGTTCCTCCTCCTCGGGTCTTGGTGTCACCTGATTCGGCGCGCTGTCTGGTGCCAGCTGGTCAGCTGCGACCGCTCAGAAGTACACTGGGAATCCTAAAATTTCTAACGATGTACGTGTGTCTCCCTGGGCCTTTTCCTTCCCGCCGTCGCCCGACGCCTCCACTCCTCAGCCTCCTCCCCTCGTGCATCGCGGCCTTATTCGCAATTGTTCGTCCAGCATTGGCCCTTCCTCCAGCGCAGTCACTCTGCCCAGTGGCCGACGCAGAAGTGGAGGAGGAGGAGGAGGAGGAGGAGGAGGAGGTAGAGGAGGTAGAGGAGGTAGACGAGGTGGAGGAGGTAGAGGAGGAGGCGGAGGAGGAGGAGGAGGAAGAGGAGGAGGAGGCGGAGGGGAAAAGGGGGGGGCATACGTCAATCGTCAGGGTAGAGGAGGAGGAGGTAGAGGAGGTAAAGGAGGAGGTAGGAGGAAAAGTGGAGGAGGAGGAGGAGGAGGCGGAGGGGAAAAAGGGTGGGGGGCATACGTCAATCGTCAGGGCGCCATTCAAATTCAGAAACGTGCGACGCGAGAAGACCGCGGCGCTGGGCCTCCGTGGGCCTGGGGGGAGGGGCCCGCCCTCAGAGCCAGCAGGGCGCCCCCCCCCCCCAAATGGGGAAGCAACAAAACCACCTTGCCGTCGCTCGGACGTCCACTTCCCGTGCATGTTTCGGCTTCGAGCGTGCTTGCTTTGCTAGATGGTCCGGGATGCTCCTCCAGGGTCCTCGCCGAGGAAAACCTGCGCACGTCCGAGCGACGCCGGGCAACACCAATGCCGCCACTCCCCCGGACCTCTCCATGGTGCGCTCCGTCCAGGATCTCGAGGCGAATCCGGCGGCTGCGACGAGGGCCTCCCAGGAGGCCCCAAAAGGGGGAACACGAGGCGAGGGTGGCGGTGTCGCTGCCTTGGCCTCCTCCCACACGAAGGGCCGGCTCTAGGGCTCCCACCGACCGTCCCGGCATTCCTGTAGTCCTACCACGAAATGTTTTTTATAACCCCCAAATAACGTAAACCCGATGTGATAAAACTAGACAGACTCTGGCCATACAGATTCGAAGAACACTTCGTGCAGACCAGAAACGGTTGTTTGGCAGGTCTACAGGCACGCCGGGATGCTTCGTCACTGCTTGATATTCCCAGATGAAGGGCTCCAGGGCCCCAGGGGAGGAAGCCCCCCCTCGGTGCTCGCAGGGGTTCCCCCAACAGGCCTGCGCCGCGCGTCCGCCGCCACGGCCGCAGGCGGGGGGTGCAGCAGCGGCTCGGAGGCGCGCCTGGGGAGGGGAGCGGAGGGGCGCGGGAGGAGAAGGAGGAGGAGGCGGAGGAGGAGGAGGAGGAGGAGGAGGAGGAGGAGATCCGTAGCCATTTTGGCTCAAGCCATTTTGGCTCAAGGCGAAACGGCAGACCCGAGAACCAGCGATTAGCTGTGGACCCCTCCGTAGCCTGTCCAGATCAGGGGCTTGGGGCTTCGCCCGCGGGATGTCCCAATTGGTCCAGCTCCCGACGGATCCCGCAGTCATGGGCGGCAGCTCCTGGTGGGCCTGCCAGCAGCACTACCAGCAACAGCAGCAGCAGCAGCAGCAGCAGCAGCAGAAGAGGCGTCGTGAATACTGCGTATATACTCGCACTAAGCTCGCCATCGCTCGGACGCCCATTCCGTGTGTTTGTTTCGGTTTCGTGCGTGTTCTTTCCGCCAAATGCTCAAGGATGCTCCTCGATGGTCCTCGCCGAACGAAAAATCCACACGTCCGAGCGATGCCGAGTAAGGCGCGCAAGAAGGTCTTTCTGCCTGTGCGGACAGCCTCCCAAACAAGGGCAGGACGGCAATGGCGGCACTGGCAACAACGGCGGTGGCAGTCAGAGAGACCAGGAAACACCCTCGAAAATAACAGAGATTATCACGCTTCTCCTCGCCCGACTCAATCCAGAACAAACGGTGGGCATCGGCGCAGAGGCTTGCATCAATACGCAAGGTTTGTTTGCGCCACCGCAGAAGCCACCGGCAACAGCAGCCACCACAGCCTTTCATGAGGTCCGCCGTCTCGAGAAGAAGCATGAGGCCCGCATGGAGACGGTAACCGAGCTCGAAAACAAGATCGACGCCACCAAGGACGGCCTGCACTCCACCACAGAAGAGCTCGCCAAGGCCCGAGGAAGCGAGCGTGGAGGCGACTCGTGGCTGGGGTGGAGGCGCTCCCATGACAGAACATGAGGTTGAAAAAGTGGCATCACCCGTCAAGCTCCCACCAGTACCAGATGGGCTCATGAAGTTCATTGAAGACATGGAAGGAGTCGGCGGGGCAAACGCCAAGAAGTGTTTCGCTGACCTAGAGCAGGCCAAGGCCAAGATACAGCCCACCAAGACAACCAAGCCCAAAGCCAAACCCAAGCAAGCTCCGACTCCACCAGCAGGACCAGCTCAGCCACAAGACGCTGAAGGTGCAACGGATGGTCAGGGGTCGGGGACGTGATGCAGGCAGCGGCAGCAGAACTCGTGGTGACAAGCCTCGCAGTCGCAGCTGCCCGCGCCCTGCTACAGGGGCCAGAAGGGGGGGGGGGGGGGCACCTACAAGTGCTGAAGGCGTCCGCAAGAGTAGGGGTCAGCGAGCCCCTCGCACCGCCCATGTCCAAACTTCAAGGACGCGGACAGAGTGCACCATGGACCAGGGCCTTACTTTACGAGGCACTGGAGAGAGCCCACTAAAAGGTCCCCAGACCCACCGTCAGAACTTGGGTGGATGACATCAGGGCCCGTCTGGTCGGCAGCCCCGACATCTCGAAGGAGACCTTCCCCAATTGCATCGTGGGCCTCTGCCACAGACTCGCCGAACGAGGATGCCGTCTTTCCGAAAAGTCAGTCGTCTCGGCCAACAACCTAGACCTCAGCAAGGCAGTCGCGGAAACCCTCTGGGACCAGGGGATCCGTATCAAGCCCCTCCGCCACGCCAGGGACCTCGGAATGGGCGCCTCCGTGGGGCGCCGTCGGGCCCTCAAAGTCCGCGAGACGCCGTGCCTTGGGGCTCTTCAGGGCTCGTGACATCAGGAAGTTGGCCAGGACTATGACCAAGGCTCGGTCGGGCGTTGGCAGAACTGGGTTTAATGGAACCCGGTTGAGTGATCCGTACCCCCCCCGCCCCAGTTCCACTAACCGGAACTGCCGTCACCCGAAGAAACACCAGCTATGGCAAACCTGGTTTAGGGGGCTCCGGGGCGTTACCACTAACCGGGTCATCTTATCTGGGGCCCTGGCCATACCCGACTCGGTCTCTCTATCGCACGGGAGCGCAACCTCGGATTCTCTAGGGCACCCAAGTCACGGGACCACGCCGTAAGAAGTGACTCTTCTACGCCGCCAGACCGCCGTCGCCCTTGGGGTCTCGAAGTCAGGAGCTTGCCTCACCACAGGACTCCACACCTCCAGGGCAGAGCCCGTTGAAATCGCACCCGCCATCTTGCTCAGGACGAACCTTTTCCAGACCTGGCTCAGATTTATCAACGACGAGCTCGGGCTCCTGGGCGGTTTTCAGAGAGCCTGGACCTGATTCAGAGGTAAGCTTCGTTTGCAGTATCATTGGCGCCGCGTTACGTCGCACCTGTCGGCGGTCATCGCCACGCTGTTCTACTTAGCCTGGGAGCCCACCTCTGCCCGGCAGTGGTCGGATCCCGCAGGCCAGGTTTTCAAGGTGAAACCGCTCAGTTGGGACCAGCAGCGGCTCTTCCTTTTTCACATGCAGTTCCGCCTCTCCATGCGCCTTCTGGAACCTCACCCACCCCAAGAGTCACAACTCAGCAGGACTGGAGGAAGGAGGATACATCACGTCAACCGGATTGCGCCCAAGCAGGATTGCAGCTGACATCGCGAAGCAGAAGAAGTAGCTGGAGGAGGAGGAGCCCAACAGGGACCAGAGGGCCACAAAGGAGGAGCAGCTCACCAACCTCGCCTCGTACCCCTCCGCCATTACCGCAGCGGCCCGTTACAAGTGCTGGGGCGAGGCACGACGTTTCGAAGCAGGGCTCCAAGATCGAGCCGGCTGTCTACTCTGCGGCCATCCGAACGCAGATGACTTCCACAAGTTTCGGACATGCCCCGAGCTCCTCTCGCTAGGTCGTGAGGCCACCCAGAACGCTCAGGAGTCCGTCCCCCAGGCAGTCCAGGAATGTCCCCAAAATGCTTCTCTCTGGCTTCGTGGGCTCGTTCCAGCAAAATGGGCCCTCCTGAAGGTTCACAAGCATATCATGTCCCTAGACGACGATATCAACAACACAGGGGTCTTCCAGCATCACCAGCAGTACAGTTTCAGTCACATCCTCATCGGGGCCACCGACGGGAGCGGAGGGGAGCACACGATGAATGCCAGTCTTCGTGTATGCGGTTGGGGAGTCGCCCTCTGGACCACATCGATGCAGTTTGTTGGCGCACTCTCTGGAGGGATTCGGGGGCCACCAATCAGTTCTTCTTGCCGAGTTAGCCGCAATTGTTTGCCTTCTCCAAGCCGCCGACGGACCCATGGTCGTTGTCACGGATTGCCTCCATGCCGTCAAAAGTTCCCTGAAAAAAAAGGCACATAGCCAGAAATTTCGGAACCCGCAGGCTTGGAAGTTCTGGACGTATGCATCTGGCCGCGCTGCCCAGCTCTTTCCACAAGGTCAGAAGCCACCCGACGGAGGAGGAGGCGGTCAAGGAGCCGCCCTGGGCGCTCCATGTGAATGAGCAGGTCGATGAGATCGCCAGCTGTGCTGCCCGTCGCCGAAGATTTCCCCCTCCGCTCGTACGCCAAGACTCAGGGAGGAGACATTCGGGCCGCCTCGATCTGTGACCGCCTCGCAGCCATCCAGGCCCACTAATGAGGGCACAATGATCAGTTCCCCCAGGAGGATGAGGAGACCAAAGATGAGCGTAGGAGAGTCAGGGCCACTGGGAGTGTACAGGCCTTCCAGCAGGCCCTCGCCACCACCTCCCATTGCCTCCTCGCTGCCCCTGTTGCCCACGATTTCAATCTTGCATGCCTCAGGTACAAGAAGCAAGGTAGTGCCAAAATCTGGATGCCCACATGGCTGAAACAACCCTCTAGGCCCAAGGTCCTTGCAGCCCACCTGACCCACAACCCCTTTTTAGAGTCCGCCAAAGGGATTTGTTGGTGTAGCCGTTGTGGGGGCTGGTCGGTACGGGCTCGTAACACATTGAAAGCTATGTGTGATCCCCCCACAGAAGCCGAAAAGCGATCCAGAGGTTGGCGAAAGGTCGTCTACCCCAAGGCCTGCAGGCCTGGCCCCAGTTCGAGGTGCTGCACTAGCTGCAGCTCACAGGAGGCCCGCGCGCGGCGGGACTTGGTCTTTCCAGAGGAGCGCCCGGAGGAGGAGGATGAGGAGGAGAGGATCAAGCCAGGGGGTCGATGAATACCCTGACCCCCTCGCATCGTAAAACAAATCACGATTTTTCAATTTTCGGCCTCTGGGGTGCCCTCGCTGGGCCTCGGGACGGGCAAATACTCAGAATGGGAAACCCGTCCTGGAGAATAGGTCGAGACCTCTCGGGGTCGACGTCACGAAAAACCAAATCGGTGGAAGATAAAACGAAGCGAGGTCGAGGAGCAAATCCGGTGAGGGTAACTCGAGTTTCTGAGACCCGGCGTCTCTGCAGGATGGATGCATCGGGCGCCGCGTCCTTCTCGGAGCGTTCTGGAACGCTCTGGAAGCGTTCCCGAACGCTCTGGAACGGACCACTCCTCGTCTTAGCCCCGCCAGAGCGGAGAAGGCGGAGGAGGAGGAGACAGGAGATTGAGGAGCACGAGTGAGACCTGATTTGGTGAGACCTGGTGTACAGTCAAGACGCTGTCACAAGGAACCCTAAATAAGGAACGAGGCGAGGCCCGTTTTTCCCATAAGTTAAACTTCAATTTCCCAGAGAAAACCTAAGGAGCACGTAAAAACAAATCTAAGACGACTAAAGAACACTGAGCCCCTCCCCAACGACAGGGGTTCCTTCCTCAGCGGCCCGACTGTAATGATGCACACTAGGGGACGCCTCCCCCGCCCCATCCCGGTCACCAGAACCGCCGCCACCCGAAGAAACACCAGCTACTCGCCATCGCTCGGACGTCCATTCCCAGTGCATTTTTCGATGTCGTGCGTTTTTCTTTCGCTGTATGATCAAAGATGCTCCTCGATGGTCCTCGCCGAGAAAAAATGCACACGTCCGAGCGATGCCAAGGCTGAGGCAGACCTAGTTCAATGAGTATGGTTAAGCTGCTTGGCTGCGGAGCCTACTCCCTAACCTGCTGCTTACCCTGCCCCCCCCCGGGCGTGGCCTCGGCCTACCCCTGGCCTCGCCCTGGCCTGCCCTTAAGCCGGGCGTGTCCCCCTACAGGGGGATGTTGGGCGAATAATAAAAGCATACTCAAAGCATACCCCCCAAATGCTCAAAAATTGTCCAAAAGTAGTCCCCTGACTATTTGTTGACCATGTTTGATTGTTCCCCCTGTAGAGGGACAGGCCCGACTTAAGCCTACCCCTGGTCCGGCTTCCCTGGGCTCTGTGCCGCCCCATCTGGCATCCCATCAGCCTCCCAGGGCGGCCCCCCCGGGGCCGCGGAACCCTTCGCTTTCGCCGCTCGTCTTCGTTCGTCCTCCTCCCCTGGCCTCTCCCTGACTTCCCCTGTCCCCCCCGGAGGAGGAGGAGGAGGAGGAGGAGGAGGAGGAGGAGGAAGAGGAGGAGGAAGAGGAGGGGGAGGAGGAGGCTCTGCGCCGCCGCATCTGGCGTCTCCCCAGCCTCCCAGGACAGCCCCCCTGGGCCGCCTCCCCCTCGCCTCCCAGGGCACCACCTCCGAGCCACGGAACCCCTTCGCTCTCTTGCACGGCTGTGCTCTGGAGCTCGGAGCCCCTTCGCTTGCTCGCCGCCCGCCACAAGGCCCCCCTGCCCCTGCCTCCTCGTGATGGTCACGAGGACCCCACCGGGAGCACACCAAGAGATGGCCAGCATTCCTATAGTCCTACAACGAGATGTTATCAGAACCAACACATGTTCTAAGAACAAAACAATGTTTTAGAACACGAGACGGATGTCATAAAACAAGACAGGCTCCGAGAGACATGTTCTACGAACATTTCGTGGAAACCACAAAAGGTTATTAGAACATTGTTTGGTCGGGCTATAGGCGAGCCAGGACGCTTCGCCAGTGCTTGAAGCAGGACCCGATCGACCGATCCTGAATGACGGCGACCGACGGGCGTTTGCGTCTGCGAGTAGGCACTTTTGCGCATAGTGGAACGCGCTCGGCGAATCACTCCTCCCGGCCCCCCGGGCGCACCAGCTGGCCGCCGGCAGCCCCGGCTCGCTCCAGCAGCTGAGGCGTGGCGGCAGCGCGCGCAGCGGGCGCGGGCGCAGGCCGCAGCCCCGGGGGTCGAGCTCAAAGGGCACGCCCATCTCCTCGGGCGGTCGAGGGGGCAAGGCCCTGACGTCGTGCCCGGGGTCGAGGGAACGGAGGCCTCCCAGGGTATGGTCGGAGGATCACGCCGCACCGCTGGCGCGTCGGCGATGCATCGACGATGCATCGGCGACGTCGGCGATGCGTTGGCGACGCTGGCGAGGAGACAATCGGGCTCCACATCGAGCCGCATCGCCGATGCGTCGGCGATGCGGCGCGATCCTCCAACCCCATCTACTCCGACCCCATCTAAGAGGCCTCGAGAATCGAGTTACCCTCCTCGACGAGGGGGATCCTCCACTAGACATGCTGGCAGCGCGAATCAAATCCTCACGAGGGGGGTTTTGGCCGTTTTCGGCATCCTGGGGCCCTTGTCGGGCCCCAGGATGTTGGACCGACCCTGGGGGAAAAAGTCCAGACTTTCTCGGGCGGGCGAGGGACAGAGCCTCGACGTCTTCCATCCTGGCTCTTGAGAAATCGAGGCGTTTGTTTTTTCCATAGCGTGCGGCCTCTCGGGGCCTCTACTGGGCCTCGGGAACGTCAAAAACGACTCAAACGAGAAACTGGTCCTGTGGAAGTGCTCGAGGGGTCTGTGCCCGGCTCGAAGAAATCAAGACGCTGGATGTCTGGGTTGTCCAGGGTTGAGGGATACCTGAGATCCGGGCTTTGTAACTTTTTCTCACTGGGCATTGTCGCCTGGTTCTGGGCCCCGGGACAATCATATATCGATGTGGCTTGAGGAATGCCGCAGAAGAATGGGATCCAGGGTTCCGCTATTTTTTTTCGCAACGTCGGGTCCGTGACGGGCGGCAGAACATGAGAGGGACGGGCTCAGGGGGGGGGGAACATCGAACTGGAATCGGCGTTACATTGCTGACAGATCGGCGACATGCCCCCCAAAGCGAACCCGGACGTTCCTGGCTGGGATGGGCCATCGGGCCCGTATCAGCGGTGAATCGGCGACTGGGGGCCGATGCATCACCCCCCCTGAGCCTGTCCCCCGCCCCCTGACGTTGCCCCTGACCTCCTCCTGTCTCCTACCGGAGCGCTCCTCCTCGCTTCTTCGCATCCTCCCTCCTCCTGCCGCTGACCCTGAAGGGCACGCCAATCTCCTCGCGTGGTCGAGGAGTCGAGTCGCGAGCTTCGAGGCTTCTCCACGCGTTCGGCATGCGTGGGCAAATTTCGGGCCACGGGAAGGAGTGCGGGTCTGGTGATCGAGGGATCGAGCTTCGAGGCTCGCCCATCTCCCCGAGCGGTCGAGTGGTCAAGATTCGAGCATCGAGCTTCGAGGTCGTCCAGGATCGTCCTTCGAGGATTGCCCAGGCTTCCCTCCTTAGCCCGGCGGCAACTGAAGCTCATGCGGCCGCCGAGTGGGCCCAGGGGATCGACACACTCGGCCGCCGCCCTGCTGAAATTGAGCCCGCTCTGCTGCCTCTTCGGAGGTCGGATGGGCTGATGAGGCGCCGAGCGGGAACTCGCCAAGCTCACCGAGCGACGAGGGATCGAGATTCGTGGTTCGAGGGCTCAGGCTGCGAGGATTTGCCTGGGTCGAGAATAGAAGATGATCTAGCTTCCCCCCCCTCCCTCCTCTTCCTCCACGCCCTGCTCCTCATCCTCCCACCTGCATCTCATCCCTGCTCCTCCAGCGGACCGCGAAGGGCACGCCTCATCATCCCTCACCATCCCCCATCATACCTCATCATAATCACCCTTTCGTCCTCTCTCCTCATCATCATCTTCATGATCCTTATCACCATCACCATCATCAGCATCATCACCGTGTTCAGCATCACCAGCATCTCCATCATCATCCCCATTATCATCCTCATCATCATCATCATCATCCACATCATCGCCGAAACTACTATCATCATCAGCATCAGCATCACGATTATCAGCATGATCATCACCATCACCATCATCATAATCACCATCAGCATTATCATCATCATCAGCATCATCGTCATCATCAGCATCAGTATCAGCATAGGCAGCCGCAGCATCATCAATATCATCAACACCGCCACCATTGTGCTCGTCATTATCATCAACACCAGCATAAGCATCGTCGTCATTATCGTCATCATCACCATCGTCAGCCTCGTTATCATGCTCATCCTCGTCCCCATCCTCATCATAAGCATCAGCAGCATCATCCACATCATCCTCAGCCACATCAACATCAGCATCAGCATCCTCAGCATCACCAATCCTCACCCTCGTTATTCCTCATCATCCTCCTCAGCATCCTCATGGTCAACAGTGCCATTACCATCAGCACCATGATCAACATTGTCGTCATCATCATCATTAGCATCATCATGAACACCACTATCATCATCGAGAACACAATCATTACCTTCCGCATCGTCATCACAATCAGCGCCATCGTCATCATTATCATAATCGTCATCCTCATCATCATCATCAGCAGCATCATCATCAGCAGCACTATCACCAGCACAGAAAAGAGCACAATCATCAGCGTCATCAGCAACAGCATCGTCATCAGGATCAGCATCAACGTCATCATCACCACCACCATCATCATCATCGCCATTACCACCACCATCACTGTCATTATCAGCATCATCATCAGCATCAACATCACCATCTCGTCGTCGTCAATTCCGGCGTCGTCCACGTGGTTGCCGTCGTCATCCGCAGCATCGTCATCAGCAGTGTCATCATTGCTGCCACCATCATCATGACCATCATCATCATCACCACCATTGTCATCATGATTACCACCATCATCATCATCAGCATCATGATCATCATCATGATCACCACCACCACCACCACCACCGCGACCATCATCATCAGCATCGTGAGCACCAGCATTATGTTCTGCATAGTCATCATAAGCATCGCCAACGTCATCATCATCATCATCATCATCAGAAGCATCATCAGCATCATCAACATCAGCACGATCATGAGCATCATCAGCATCAGCATCCGTATTGTCATCATTGCCATCATCATCACCACCGTCAGCAGCATCAGCAACATCATGGTCAACATCATCAGCATCATCATAATCGCCCATCCGCAGATCGTTGTCGTCGTCATCGACGTGGTCGTCGTCATCATCGTCAACATCTTCATCATCATCATCATCATCATCATCATCATCACCAGCATCATCATCATCATCATCATCATCATCATCAGCATCAGCATCAGCATCATCATCATCATCATCATCATCATCATCATCATCATCATCCTGCCCTCCTCGAGGGCAGAGGAGACCGGACCTCGAGGAGATCGGGCTTCGCGGAGGGGAGCCGCTTCAGCCGGTTCTTACACCGCCGGCCTCCGGGGGGCCGGCCTCGGGCTCCTCGCCTGAGGGAGCGGACTTCGAGGGGGGGACGCTGCGTGTCGAGGGCGGTCGAGGAGCAAGGAGGAGGAGGAGGAGCGAGGAGGAGCCGACCCCCCCGAAAATGCACTTCTTGGGAACCAAATCCTTCCTCCCGCCCGCTTCCGCAGGCGGAGGCGGCCTGGCTTTCCTCCCGCCGCCTCCCGCCGATGAAGGGACGGCAACCCCTTCGATCCCCAAAGGCGAGGCCCCTCTCTCGCCATCGCTCGGACGTCCATTCCGTGTGCTTTTTTCGGAACCGTGCGTGGTTTGTTCGCCACGTGGTCAAGGACGCTCCTCGATGGCCCTCGCCGCAGGAAAAAAGCGCACGCCCGAGCGATGCCGAGGGAGGGCCGATGGCCGACGGGGACAGGGGGACCGAGGGGCCCTACAGGTCGACGAGGGCCGTGGGCCGAAGGGCCCTCCAGTCCCGGGAGGAGGGAGCGACCTCTGAACACCGAGTCCTGGAGAAACTCGGCTCGAACTTCTCCCTCGAGGGATGCTCCTCATCCTGCCTCCTGCTCCTCCTCTTTCTCTTTCTCTTTCTCCTCCTCCTCCTCCTCCTCCTCCTCACTCGCGCTGCAAGCCGCCGAGCTTGGACGCGTCGGCCACCGCCTGTCGCTGTCACCGTCACCTGAGTCGGTGACCCTGGCGAGGGGGTGACGGCGGCAGTGGCAGGGCCGAAACGCGCCCAGAGTACATCAAGGCATAAGTGTGCAAACCCGATCTGTCTGGCTGATGCTCTAGGGGGGGGCTGTGTTAAGGGGGGGGTGCAACACCGCTCAACGATGCGCTGTCACCTAAGCCTGCAACGTGGGACCTCTCTTTGTTTCTGCGCACTTCAACTTTTAACTTCGGCGTCAACTGTGGGCGCACCGTGGAGCGCCTTCGGTCCAGCTCACCCGACTCGAATGTTCTGCTCGCACGCGTGCCCCCCCCACCACCCCACTCCTCCCATCCTCCTCACTCACTCCTCTTTCGCAGGGCGGACGAGGAGTCTCGCTCATCCTCCTCCCCGTCCGTCCCCTCATCCTCGTCAGCATCATCATCCTCAGCATCATCAGCATCAGAAGCAGCGTCATTACCAATCACGACAATCAATCAACCAATCCATCAATCAAGCAATCAATCAATCGATCACTCGATCGACAATACCATCAGTCAACCATCCAACGAACCACCCACTCAATCACCATCATCATCATCATCATCCTCATCATCATCATCATCATCATCATCATCATCATCATCGTCATCATCATCATCATCATCATCATCATCATCATCAACAGCATCACCATCATCATGATCAGCATTAGCATCATCATCATCATCATCATCATCATCATCATCTGCATTCATATTAATCATGATTATCCTGATCACCATCACCGATTTCGTCGACATCGGCATCACCATCATCATCACCAAGTGCCGCCATCAACATCAGCAATAGCATCAGCTTCATCACCATCAACATCATCATCATCATCATAATCATCATCATCATCATCAGTAGCAGCAGCGTCGTCATCATCATCAGCATCAACAGTATCATCAGCATTATCATCATCATGGTCAGCATCAGTCTAATCATCATCGAGGTCATCACCGTCATCATTCTCGGCATAATCAGCATCTCCATCACACGTATCGTCATCACCAGCAGCAACACCATCAGCATGAGCATCAGCGCCACGATGCATACCACCATCATCATCTTCATCTTCATCATCATCATCAGCATCATCATCAGCATCATCATCATCATCAGCATGATCATCAGCATCATCATCGCCATCATCATCAGCAGCATCAACATCAGCATGATTATTTTTATCAGTAGCAACAGCACCACCATCATGATCATCATCAGCAGCCGCATCAGCATCAGCATCAGCATCAACAGTATCATCATCAGCAACATCAGCATCAGCATCAGCATCAGCATCAGCATCATCATCATCAACAACATCATTATCATCAGAGAGAGCGTGATCCACCGCCGCTTTGCCGTTAAAAATTCCCCCCCTCTTCCTCCCGAACTTGGGGTCCCCCCATCCGAAAATCCCCCCCCCTGCTCGACCCCCCCCCTCTCCCTGGCAAGACCCCCCCCCTCTCCCCAACCCCCCTCTCACCCCCCCCCCCGACCGTCCCCACCACTGTCGCACTCACTGTCCCCACTGTCCCCACCACTGTCCCACTGTCCCTACTGTTCCCACCGCTGTCCCCTCTGTCCCCACCAATACCCCCACCGATGCCCCACAATTGTCCCACTCTCCCCACTGTTCCCACTGTCCCCACCACTGCCCCACTGTCCCCAATGTCCACACCGCTGTCCCACTGTGCTGTCCCACTGTTCCCACTGTTCCCACCGTTTCCACCGCTGTCCCACTGTCCCCACTGTCCCCACCACTGTCCCCACTGTCCCACTGTCCTATTGTCCCACCACCGTCCTCAACACCGCCCTCACCACTGTCACCACTGTCCCACTGTCCCCACTGTCCCCACCACTGTCACTCTGTCCCACTGTCCCCACCACTGTCTTTCTGTCCCCACTGTTTCCACCACTGTCCCCACTGTCCCCACCAGTGCCCCCACCTCTGTCGCACTGTCCCACTGTCCCCACCATTGTCTCCACCACGGTCCCACTGTCCCCACTGTCCTCACCACCGTCCCACTGTACCCACTCCCCACCACCATCCCCACCACCGTCCCAACGACTCTCCCACCAGAGTCCCCCATCTGGAGTGAGAGAGGAGGAGTCGTTTGCCGGCGGCGAGGGGGGGGGAGGTTCGAACGGGTAGCGACCCCACCCCCTTTTCACGATGGACAGGGGGGGTTGGATCCCCCAATGACCCCCCCAACTGTTCGAGGGAGGGGATGGGGACGGGTGTTAAACCCCCAGCGCCCCCCCCGGCTGTCTGCCAGCAGCGGCAAAACACGCTCGTTCCATCATCATCATCATCATCATCATCATCATCATCATCATCAGCATCATCATCATCATCATCATCATCATCAGCATCATCATCATCATCATCACCACCGCCACCACCACCACCACCATCATCATCATCATCATCATCATTATCATCATCAGCATCAGCATAAGCATCAGCATCATCATCATCAGCATCAGCATCAGCATCAGCATCATCATCATCATCATCACCATCACCATCACCATCACCATCACCATCATCAGCATCGTCGTCGTCGTCCTCATCATCATCATCATCAGCAGCATCATCAGCATCATCATCATCAACATCATCAGCATCATCATCATCAGCAGCATCATCATCACCGCAGTTGCAACCACAACCATCATCATCATCATCATCATCATCACCGCACTTGCAACCACCACCACCATCAGCATCATCAGCATCATCATCATCGTCATCAGCATCAGCATCATCATCACCACCATCGTCATCATCAACATCATCATCAGCATCATTATCATCGTCATCGCCATCATCATTACAGAACTACCACTGTCGTCGTCATCGCCATCGTCATCCCCAGTTTGCGCATCCAAGCGTTAAATCAAGACACGAGATGGGGACCTGTAAGAAAAGGGTTGGCTCATTATTGCTACGCACGAATGCACTGCCCTTCGCCTATAAGGTGGCGCAGCGGAATCACCTCCGCCTCCACATCGGAGAGGCTTCCCAAATGCCCTCACCACCTTGGGCGGGACGGTGCCCGCAAGGCTGAGCAGAGCCACGGGAGGATGCCCTGCGCCAGGCTGACGCTCCGCAGCTCAGTCGCAAGGCTGAGCGGCTGAGTGCACTACGATTGCTTCCACCACTGCCTTGGATGGCACAGGCCCTGCAAAAGCAACGTTCTCGCTGGGAAGGCCGTTCCATGGTCACCGCGGCCAATGCCATTATCATACGCCCCCCGCCCAATGATAACTTCTTACACACCTTACTTGGGAAGGACTGATTGGCGATTTTTCGCTGGTCAGGATATTTCTCAAAATCTGTCACTGGACCCCTCATCGACACCATCCTGGTATTCTCTTCTGAAGCCGCTGTGAGAAAGAGAAACAACCTGACACAGATGCATTCATGCACCTCCGTCTCCTCGGCCCGCTCCATGGACTCGGCATACGGCCACGGGTGCTCGTCCCACTCGTCCTCTGGGACATACCTGAGATAGCAGTCGGAGTCGCTCTCCTTGGCGGAAGAAGGCAAGTGGTACTGGGGAACCATCCAAGAGCAGCCAGCAGAACACAACTCTCTGGATGCCCAAGGAGGACGAGGCGGCAGAAGGAACATGAACACCCAGCTGCCCTCATGCAATCGAAGCGATGCAAGCTGAGATCGACCAAGGGTGCGGAGTAGCAGATTTACCCGTGGGGGTGCGGAGTAGCAAGATCGGCAAGGGCCCGACTCCGCGCACAGACATCGCCACGTAATTACTGCGTAACCAGTATGAGCCCGGACGCGCAAGGCGCCGCCCCCCCCTCCCCCAAACAAAAACATAGCCAGAGCTGACCGCCGCCTCTGTGTGTGCCTGAGGGAGGCGGAGGCAGTAGGAGCGGAACGACGGCGGAGGCATCGCACTACCAACAAAAACCCAACACCTGGCACGATCGAATCTGGTACGGAAACAGCGGGTACAGAGTCCAACAGCAAATCTTGTTCATTATGCGCAGGTTCTCTGTCGGCGTTGCCGCTGTCGCTGTCCATTTGATACAGAAGGCCGCCTGTCCAACTGCGGCCGCTGCCGCGTTTGGACAACATCTGTTGTTGGGCATCGCACTCATTCTGTCCGTACCCATTTCGGGCTTCCTAAAACTTCTACGTAGCACCCCGCAATTGCGGACAAGAGTGAGGGGGTGGGCGCGGGCGACACGGGCGTCGTCGAGCCGGCGGACCTCGTGGCCCCCACCTTCCTTGTCGATGGCGCTCTCCTCCTCCTCCTCCTCCTCCTCCTCCTCATCTTCCTCGTCCTCGTCTTCGTCCTCATCGTCATCGTCATCCTCTTCCTCCACCTCGTCCTCCTCCTCTTCTTCCTCGTCCTCCCTCTCCCCCCCTCGTCCTTCCATCATCGTCCTCCCATTGTCGTCCTCCCCCTCATCGGCCTCCATCATCGTCCACCCATTGTTGTTTATCATCATCCTCCTCCCCCTCCTCCCCCTCCTCGTCCTCCTCCTCGCCCTCCCCCCCCTCCTCCCCCTCCTCGTCCTCATGCTCCTCCACCTCCTCTTTCTCCACTTTCTCCTTACATCCTCTCTTCTTCCGCGTCCTCCTCGTCCCCTGTTTACTCCTCCTGCCTCCCCTTCCTTTCCCAAGATAACGGCAACGCAATCCTTTTTTCCACTTTATGCTCCCCAGCTTCTCTGATCAAGGCAACTCGCCAGGGCAAAGTTGCTGGACGGGCTGGTGTGGATGCGCGGGGCTTGAAGAGGTCGTTGCGGGCTCAGACGGCATGCAAAATTCCGCCGCCGCGCTTGTGCGGCATTGGTTTGTTCAGTGAACGTGGTTTGGGTGGTCGCGGGCTCTCCACCTCCACCTGAAAGGAATGCGTAAGCAGCCCGCCGCAGGCGCCGAACAAAAATTGTTTGTACACTGAACGTGGTTTGGGTCGCGGGTGGGCCGCGGGTTCTCCACCGGGAACGGATGCAAAAGATGCCCGCCGCAGGCGCAGGAACATTTGGTTTGTACCCTGACCGTGGTCGCGGGTGGGCCGCGGGCTCTCCACCTGGAAGGAAGGCAAAAAAGCCCGCCGCAGGCGCCGAAAATGGGGGTTTGTACCCTGAACGTGGTTTGGGTCGCGGGTTGGTCGCGAGTTGGTCGCGGGGTGGGTGGTGGGCTCTTTACCTGGAAGGAATGCAAAAAAGCTCGCCGCAAGCGCCGAAAATGGTGATTTGTACCTTGAACGTGGTTTGGGTCGAAGGTGGGTCGCGGGGTGGGTCGCGGGGTGGGTCGCGGGGTGGGTCGCGGGTGGGTCGCGGGGTGGGTCGCGGGGTGGGTCGCGGGGTGGGTCGCGGGTGGGTCGCGGGTGGGTCGCGGGGTCGCGGTGGGTCGCGGGTCGCGGTCGCGGGTGGGTCGCGGGGCGAGTTGCGGGTGGGACGACGACAACACACACAAACGACAACAACAACAACAAACAACAACAACAACAACACAACAACAACAACAACAACAACAACAACAACAACAACAACAACAACAACAACAACAACAACAACACAACAACAACAACAACAACAACAACAACAACAACAACAATCACTTTACCCGAACGCTCAGTGTTCTCACCAGTGCCAGGGTTTTCATGCGACGCCAGCCAATACCCCCACTTTGTGGGGGGGCAGTGCAAGCTCTACCAAATATCCACACGACTCTTCGCCACCACCCACACCCAGCTTCCCGCCCTATGACGTTCGGACACTTCACTTCGTGGCCTGCGGACGACCGTGGCTACTACACTGGCGTGGAGTACACACCCACAGAAGTTGTTAGGCACGCGCGCGGGTAGAAATTTTGAAAAGTCGTGCAGGTGTTTTTCGAGGACCTACGGTGCGATTCGTGTGATTTTATGATGCGCGGTGCTAAAATTCTTAAGAAGCCCAATGGTTTTTGGAGATTTCGGCGTGCGCGCGCGAAGAAAAAACGAATGTGTCCCGCATGGTATTATTTGACAGGGATGATGGCCCTGGCAGGTGCGCAACCGTTGTCGCAGAAGTTCGAAAAAGTTGCTCGCAAAAGCCCGTTTGACAGAAATGTTTAAAAAGTGTTGGGTTTCCTACGAATCCGCAAGAGCGCGCGGGATGAGATTTTGACAATTTTTTGTTGAAAAACCATTGGTTTTTTGATGTTTTTATGTTAAAATCGCTGCGAACACTAAGGTTTTGGAAGGATTTCGTCTTGCGCGCGCGAATGTCCACTTTACCTTATTTTTTGCAAGGGATTCTTGAAATTTGATTATATTAGAACAAGAAATGTCATTTTCTATTGTTTTTTGCAAGGGAAAGCGGATTACAACAAAACAACCGGATCCTGTACACACCCTCTTTTCTGAGGCTTCCTCACGAAAATGATGAAAATGTAGCTGCGGCCTAGGCGGCGCAGGGGGGGCGCGCACCAGGGGGCCCAACAATAATTATTCTTTAGAATAAATAATGTTCAACAACAACAACAACAACAACAACAACAACAACAATCCGCACCGCGGAATTCCACTTCAGCCACGCACCCAGGGACAGTGAATGACCGTTCGGCCCCCTCACTCTGACAACATGCGGCGAGAACACACAGGCCACAAGGGCACTCTTGATTCGGAAGGGTCAACCTGCGAATCTTGTGGATGCCACGACAATGGACACATTAACTGTTTTACCATCGAATTTAAAGTGTCTTAAATTTAGGAAAATTGTCTAAACATGTTTTGAACATGTTATTTTACATGTTTGAAACATGTATGTTACATGTTTTAGAGATCTGGAAAATTATTTGGCAACATGCTTCCTCTCTATTGATCGTCCTCCACAATACGAATCAGACTCGGCACTATGGTTTGGGAGATTGAAGGGGCCCAGGAACCCACAAATAAATACACACAAATTCGCCGGCCCAACGGGCCAGGGCGTGCTAAGATCTCCGGTAACTGGTTAACAGTATTAACAGTATTTCTAGTTCGCGCGCGCGGGGCGGCCCCTGGGGGTCCCCCGGCGAAAAGTACCCCGACCAACGCCCGGTCGCCGCCCGACCGCCGCCCGACCAAGTCTACTCAGAGATGGTTTTCCTTCTGGGTGCGGCCTCTCAGGCTCCCCAGAGCGCGCTCAGAGTGCCCCAAGAGGCCCCCAAGACTGCCCAAGAGGCCCCCGAGACGCCCAAAGAGCGCTCGAAGACGCCGAAGATGACCCCAAGACGGCCCAAAAGGCCCCCAAGACAGCCCAAGAGGCCTCCAAGACGCCCCAAGAGCCTTCCAAGAGGCCTCCGAAGAGAGCCCCAAGAGGCCAAAATCGTTGATTTTCATTGGTTTTTTCTATGTTTTTTGTGTTCTGGCTTTTTCGGCTTCCGGACGCTCCAAGACGGCCCAAGAGGCCCCCAAGACCGCTCCAAGACGGCCCACGAAGCTCCCAAGACGGCGCCGAAACGACCCAAGAGAGCCCTCAAGACGGCCCAAGTGCCGCCCAAGACGGACCAAGAGGCCCCAAGACGGGCCCAAGAGGGACTCAGGAGGGATACCGAGAACTCAAAAATGGAGCCCTCCGTCCAGAAGGCGCCCAGGAGGTCCCAAAGAGGCCCCAAGAGGCCTCCAAGAGGCCCCAAGATGTCGCCAAGAGGCCCCAGGAGACTCCCAGGAGGCCCAAAAGAAGCCCCAGAAGGCTTCAAACATGTCTCCCAGGCGCCCCCGAACGGCCTCTCAACAGACCCCAAGAGGCCCCCCAAAGAAGCATCTTGACGACGACTCTATTTCGCCCCATCGAGAGACGACCCCCAGGGAACTGCTTCACCATCAAAACTCCCCACGCAACGCGTCCGAACGACACCCGCCCCCAAGAGCGCAACATGGGCAACGAACACACAGACAAAAACCAGCGATGCCATATCACGGGCCGGCGGAATGAGCGAAGCGATTCAATAAAACTATTCCCTATATTTTCGCATATTTTCTGGGTTTTTGTATTCCCCCCCACTTCCCATATTTTCCCACGTTTTCTGGGAATCGACGATGAATTATCTCTGTGTGCTTCTTTCCCTCCTGAGAGATGGCTGCGGACTTCTGGAGCCCTGTCCCAGGAGGCGGTGCCCGCCCGCGGGGGGCGGGCCACGGTCTCCAAAAGCACCCCCCGCCAACCGCTCTCCTCGGCGTCCCGGGGCACGCCTCCGAAGAAATGGATGCGGCGCTGTTCGCGACGCGATGACGTCTGCATTTGGGCTCTGTCACCGCGTGGCTCGCTCGACCTGTGAGCGGCCGCGGCTCCCCACGATCGCCGATCTGTGGACGTCGGCCGACGCCGGGCGGCGTCGCCCGAGCCGGCGTCGCCGCCGCACCACTTCCGCGCGAGCCTGCCGCATCCAGGTCACCCACTGGCCATCGCTCGGACGTCCATTCCCTGTTTTTTTCGGTTTCGTGCGTGTTTTTTTTCGCCAGATGATCAAGGATGCTCCTCGATGGTCCTCGCCGGAGGAAAAATGCACACGTCCGAGCGATGCCAAGCCCAGCTTCGCGCATCGTGCCCCGCGGTGCGCGACGCGCAGTTTCTTCAGCGCCCCTGCGCCCTCGCAGCCCCCACTCGGATGAGGGCAGCCACTCCGGCCCGGACCGCGACGCGCGAGGCGCGAGTCGTCTCCGCGTCCGAGTGGGTGCCCTACGTGCACTGTGCACTGTGCGGACGTCGCCGAAAAAGTCCGACTCGGACAGAACCTTCGGTGGCAACCATCTGGTTGGCCTACGGTGATCGACGCTTATCGATACGAGTCGACGCGATGCTGAATCGACGCCAATCGACGTTCACCGACGCCAGTCGACTCCTAATTCGGCGCTATCTCATTGGCTACCAGACGTCGCTCGACGCTCAAAACGGACTTGAAAACTTAAGACGGTGTACGCACTACCATAGTTTGGTACCGAAAAGAGCCTTCCGTGAGGAGGGAAAGGGTCCTAAGGGAGACAGGGCGTGGAGACCACAGGTCTTCCCCCCCGACGGCCTTTCACCATGAGTCGTCTTTTCACGGCCCCAGGCCGCGGAAATGCTCCGAGCAGCCGAAACTGGCACAGCAACAGAACATCCGCAGGACCCCCTTGGATGTGGGGGACAGACCCTGGAGGTCCCTAGAGAGGGAGGTCCTCTGACGTACCTGGACGTACCAGATGCCTTCGGAGACCTTCAGGGGCGCCAACCAAAAGGCAAGCATCTAATGTTTGCCAGCTTGGACCCCAAAAAGTGAGGTGTTGCACTGAGAATTTGTATGGTGTAGAGACGTGGTGCAATAGAGGTGGAAACTATGTGGTGCAAGCAAGACGGTGTAAGCTATGTGCTGCACGCTCAGTCGTGCAACCCATGTGCCGCACGCTACGTTGTGCAAACTATGTGGTTTGAGCTGTGCTGTGCAACCAGTGTGGTGCAAGCTGCGTGGTGAAAGCAGTGTGGGTCAGGTATGTGGTGTAAGCTACGTGGTGCGAGATATGATGTGAAAAAAAATGTGGTAAGACCCGTGTAGTGACATCGATGCGCACGCCCAGCGCACGAGTCGCCCAGGAGGCGCCCACGGGTGGCTACGGAAGGGCACCCGACGACGCTTCGGCACACCCGCCCGCTCACACACCCGGCGCTCGAGGCGCCCACGAGGCGGGCACGGTCGGGCATGGGCGGGCACCCGGCAAACTTCGGCACACCTACAGTCGGGGCGTTGGCCTAAGGAACGAGAAGTAAGGAGCGAGGCCACCTTTCTCTTCAAGCTTAGCTTCGATTCCCGATCGAAAGCCGAAGGCAAACCTGAGGCAAACAGTAAAACAACTGAGGAACACAGAGCCCCTCCCAAACTAAAAGAGCACCTTCTGCAGCGCCCCGACTGCACCAAGCAGGCTGGCGGCGCCCACGAAGCGCCCGCGGGCGGGCACCAGCCGAAGCTGCCGCCCCGCGCACGAGGCGCCCACGGGCGGGCACCAGCCGACGCCCCGGGCACACCCGCCCAACACGAGGCGCCGACGGGCACCCACTTCGGACGCCCGAGCTGGGCACGGACAAAAATGGGCACGATGCCCAGCAGCAATGGTTGTCCAAAACCAACAGCGGCCGCTGTTGGGCAGGCGGCCTGCTGTCTCAAATGGACACAGGCCGCGGCGACACCGACAGCGACTCCTGTTCCAAACGAAGAGGAACTACTGTTGGGCATTGTACCCATTCTTTCCGTACCCATTTCGGGCGTCCAGACCCACCAACTGGACACCAGGCGAGACTCTGGCACACCGACCCAGCTCCCTGAAACGCAAATGGGAAGCCCTAGTCGCAGGCACACTTTGTGGAAACCACGAAACCGAACCCGAATCGGGAGAAGTGTTGGGGCTCCTGGAGGTGTTGAAATGGCTGTCGGTGATTGTGATCTTTTCCCCGATCCCGGGTTTGTTTAAAAAGGAGCCATATGGGTCATGTGTGGGGCTCCTTGGAGGGGGCTGCAAGCGAACGGATTCGAGACCGAGACAAACTCAGTTGACCCCCGCTCATGTGAGCGCCGAGAACCTCACATTTGGAAGCTCAGTCAGTGCATGACTGCTTGAAGCTCGACTCATCGGTCTCTCAGAACAAATTCGCCCTGAATCAGTCATGGATTCGAGGAAGCGTGTGCGTTCCTTCAACGATTCGAGGATCAGACTGAAACTGACTACGGTCCAATTTTGATCGATACCGCTCTGGCTGCAAGCACTCAGAAAACAGTGCACTTTTGTTGCATACCAGCCATCAGCGCTGGCGCTGGCCCTGGATGAAGGAACTGTTGTTGCTCACGTCCCTGTCCAAATTCGAAGGAAAGAGCAAGGGTTCGGGGAGCGGGGGAATGAGAGCGACGTGTGCATGGGCGTGCAAGTGGGGGATGAGGGGACGGAGGAGAAGAGGCTGGCTTGGTGGGGTGCGGGGCAGAAGGATGGGGGCGAGGGGGGGGGGGAGAGCGGGATGGTGGGGTGCGGAGGCGGACGGGGGGGGGGGGGACACAGGACCTGCCGTTATTCACGTCCGCACCGAACTCTGAGGATAGGGGGGGAGCGCGAGGTCTCGGTGGGGGAGACCCTTGCCTCGGACGCGGGCGTGGGCCCTGGCTCCCCCCCCCGTTGTGCTGCCGCTTCGGCCCGCCGATCTCCGTCAGCACGAAGCCTGCCAAGGCCGCGTCTCCGTCGGCCGGAGTGCCCCGCGGCTTCCAGCCCCTGGCCCAGAC